GGGGTTTGATGGTGCAGTTGCTGCCCTCCAAACATTTTTCTGTCCCAAGGCGAGTTTCCCCCCAAAAAAGTATGGCTTCCTACTTCAATTTGCCCCAGAAGGAATCTGCTGTGATGGGCACCAATTAGCTAGAATCTTTGAGACTACCAGAACATTTCTTCCTCTCCCCACACCATCCCTGGATCAATTCTGTAAGGTTTTGGTTTTTTAATGATCTGGAAGGATAAGGTGGTTATGCACTCCCTAATTCCAAGAAGAGTCCCATGGCAGCACTACATGGTTTACAGAGCACTTTTCTCCTGCACTGGTGGGGAACTTGAGATGATGTCCACTTACCTGAGACCAAGCCCCTTCAGTGGGACATAATTCTGAGCAGACCTGCATACGATTGCACTGAAGATTGCTTTGGAGACTTGCACACCCATGCATAAGATTGCGTCGAAGGCTTACAGATTTGCCTTATTTGCAAATTATTGGCTTCAGTGAAGGCAAGCAGGAGATCCACTACATCATCTCAGGTCTCCTAAGAGACTGTTTTCAGCCATCTCACAGCTCTCTCCTTCCGTCCCTCTCTCTGGGACCCACTGTAGATTATTATAGTTTAGATAGACAGACTGGCCACATTTTCTTTTTCTGAAGAAGAAGTAACCACAAGAGCTCCGTCTGGACTGTTAACAGAATATTGGTGCTAATCTGGATCGCCAGTACTTTCTAAATGGGGGCCTGCAGCTGCTTTTTTCTTCACCATAAAAGTGGGCAATTTAACCATGATTTGTTTTTGTTTTTCAAAGTATGAATAGCACAGAATGTAGTTTAACTCTCTGTCTCCAGATTCAAAAACTGGCAAGCTGCTCTGGCACTCGCCATGCTCTCCCGTTGCGCCAGAAGCGGTTTAGTCCTGCTGGCCACATGACTTGGAAAGCTGTCTGTGGACAAAGGCCGGCTCCCTCAGCCTGAAGCGAGATGAGCGCCGCAACCCCAGAGTCGCCTTTGACTGGATTTAACCGTCCAGGGGTCTTTTTCCTTTACCTTGTCTATTATTTTATCGAAAGTATTTCAGTGGAATCAAATAAAGGAAAAATAAAAAGTGCATTAAAAGGAAAAGGAAAAAATGTTTAATATATCACTATATATGCAAGCAACTCTTTGACATCTGGTGGGAGGGCATTCCACATTGCAGGTGCCACTACCAAGAAGGCCCTCTGCCTGCTTCCCTGTAACCTCATTTCTCACAGTGAGGGAACCGCTGGAAGCCCCTCGGAGCTACATCTCAGTGTCCACAATAAACAATGCAGGTGGAGATATTCCTTCAGGTATACAGAGCCGAGGCCATTTAGGGTTTTATTCCTCCACGTGTTAAGAGAATTGATCCCAAACACTAAATAACAGGATCTGGGGCTACGATCCAGTCATGTAGATTTAAATTAAACCTCCTGGTTGGTCTGCTGCCTCCGAGACCACTACCTGCTACCCGGACCAAGGGTACTGCCTGTTCTGCAGTCAGCAGGCCCTGCAGGGCAAATGATGACTTCTTAATAACTGAAACTTCGGGAGGTTTCTTTTCATTAGCATCAAAGCAGCAGTTCATTCTAACACAGTTTGCACTATCGAGCCGCTAAAGGGTGCTTTAGCATTCCAAATCTGCACTGGCAAAATTTCTGGGAAAGGGAAGGGAAACAAGGCCCCATAACTCAAAGCACATTATTCATGGCACCATACGTTTAAAGCACACTTTATACCAAAGCGTCCTGGGAACTGCAGCTTCTTAAGGGTGCTAAGAGTTGTTAATAGACCCCTTATTCCCCTCACACAGCTGCAATTCCCAGAGTTCCCGGGGAAGAGGAGGTCAATTGTTAAACCGCTCTGAGTGTTGTAGCTCTATGAAGTGAGGGGGGGTTCCTCCTAAGAAGTCTCAGGACCCTTAACAAGCTACAGTTCACAGCATTCTTTGAGGGAAGCCATGACTGCTTAAAGTGGCATCGTAGTCTTTTTAACAAACACACATTGCTCCCTCAAAGAAACCTGGGGTTTCATTTGTAGCTGCTCTTCCCAAAGCAACATGTGAAGCTAAACAGCTATCCTTTGAAGCCCCCCGTTATGAAATTCAAACTAAAAAATACATACAGAAATGCATGCATATGTGTGTGTGTGTGTGTGTGTGTGTGTGTGTGTGTATGATAAAAATGCATATATTCAATGAACATGACATGCAAAAATGTGTTATAGTAGGATAAACTGCATACAAAAATGTGTATATTTGGCAAAATTGCACTCAGAAATGTATATGTGTGTGCACACTGCTGATTAGGAGATTGTGCATATTAAAATGCTGGTGATTTTTTAAAAAGAACAAACTGAGAAAAAGTTGAGTTGAAATTGGCATGTCCCTCCATCCCTCCTAGGTGGAGCTAATGGGAGACGGCAGTCCAACGAAATCTGGAGAGCAACCGATTTCTCCTCCCTGTATGTTTTAGAAGCCTTCCTCTAGCTCTCTCACTATGGACCGATCCACATGCTGAAGTTGGCTGAGGTGAAAAAGAGATGAGAAAGTGCTATTGTGCCGCAGTCCTGCTAGCGGGCTTCCCATAGGCATTTGGGTGGGCCTCTGTAGGAACGGGATGCTGGACTCAAGGGGCCGTCAACCTCACCTGGCAGGGCTCCTCCTGTGTTCTGAGCCTGCACATTGAAAATCAGTCAATGCACCTCCTGTTGTGTATGGAGGGAAAGTGTATATCTAAATAGAACCCCTTCCCCTCCCTAAAAATGTGGCCTATGAAGGCAAAGCATCCAATAATGGGATGGGAGAAGAAATGCTATAATCCAGATTGTAATTTTCCATTTCTGCAGCCAATGTCTTTTCAGCCTCTCGATAACAATGCACGTTGGTAACGGTTGCCTACCATGCTTTCCGCATCATCTTTACTTTTCATTCTGTGCAATTTCTCAGCATGTTTCAGGAACAAAACAGTTCTTTGTGATCGTATTGTAGAGTCTTAATAAACAGATGCTGCACTCCGGGGGTGGGGGGCAGCGGCGCTGTGGTTTTTCTTTAAATTATGAAGAACAGCGTAACTTTTTAGAAACCTTTGTGCCTTTTTCTGAAAATTAGAAAACTGTTGCCTCTGGTGAACTGCTCCCAAAGCTGGCTAATCCCTTTGAAAGTAGTGAACGGGCATCTGCTATTTTCTCTTCTTGTTAAAGGCATTGTGTGTTGAAGGAACAGCGGCGCACCTGAGATACTTCTGTGATGAACTGAGAGCGATGAATGTGCAAACAAAGCTCGATGAAAAGATCCCTGGTGAGGTAACAGCCATGCGAGAGCATCTGTTTTGCGTGCTGAAGGCCCTAAATTCAATCCCCTACATCAGTCCAGGGAGAACCTCCTGCCTGTAAATCCTGCCAGCCAGTGTAAAGCAATACTGAACTAGATCCAGTGGTGTCCAAACTTTTTTTAAAGAGGGCCAGATCTGATGAAGTGGAAGGCCGTGAGGGCCGCCCCCAAGTTGTTGACCTCTTTTAGGACTGAGGTTGTTGAACTTTTTTATGATTTTCCCCCAAAGTTGTTGAGCTTTTCTTAGGGTTGAAGTTGTTCAGGTTTTTTTAGGATTTTACCCCAGGAAATAAACTGCCACAGGGGCTGGATTAAACCAACCAGAGGGCCGTATTAGGCCCCCAAAATGGACTTTGGAGACCAATGACTCAGTATATGGTCTTTTAAGAAGACAAAAGCACAGGGCAAAGGGTAGCGACAGTAACTATCATGCATGTTCCCTCAAGTCAGGAAGGCAAAAACTTTGATGAGAACTGTTCCTTCTAGAAATAAGGCTTAGGACATCAACTCCCATCATCCCTAGCTACCAGTGGTCAGGAATGATGGGAACTGTGGTCCAAAAACAGCTGGAGACCCAAGTCTGGGAGACCCTGTCTTAATGTTATGGTCTGGGAAAGGCTCCTAGGGCTGTAGGGTGGGGCAAGGCAGGATGGAAAAGCCATTGCCTGATGGCTAGCACAAAATCTCTCTTCCCCATTGTTATGATTTAAATAGAAATACAATACATCTCACCGTAGGTAAAGGTAAAGGGACGCCTGACCATTAGGTCCAGTCACAGACGACTCTGGGGTTGCGGCGCTTATCTCGCTTTACTGGCTGAGGGAGCCGGCGTACAGCTTTTGGGTCATGTGGCCAGCATGACTAAGCCGCTTCTGGCAAACCAGAGCAGTGCATGGAAACACTGTTTACTTTCCCACCAGAGTGGTACCTATTTATCTACTTGCACTTTGACGTGCTTTCGAACTGCTAGGTTGGCAGGAGCAGAGACCGAGCAATGGGAGCTCACCCCGTCGTGGGGATTCAAACTGCCGACCTTCCGATCGGCAAGCCCTAGGCTCTGTGGTTTAACCCATAGCGCCACCCGCGTCCCTGTACATCTCACCATAGTGGGGACTATATGCTGCTCAGTCAGCTATCAGGTGCTGAGAGCTGATGGGCAACATCAAGGCCTCTCCAGCTCTCCCTTTGTGAGTTCTTTTTCTTTAATGCAGACTTAGACTGGACGTCCGTCTCAATAGGCAATGCTGTCAAATAGAGAACTACCGATATCTTCTGTAGAACAGGACATATAGCCGCTCTACTTCCGCTTTCTGCATCTGTCCCTAACTTTACATTCTCCAAAGGCTTATTGCAGAAGGGGAGCTTGCTAGTATTAGAATTTTCTCCAGCTGCTGGGGGGAAAACCCCCACAAAGTACTTGAGATACAAACATTATGTACTCTCATGGTTTGCTGCTCCTTAATAGGATAGGTTGGTCCACGTCCTTTCATTACTGATCTAGCTCAGGTAATAAACCTCAGGGCTCCATTAAGTTGCTCCATCGCACATTACATCTCCCTAGCCAGCATGAGTTTTCTAGCTTTCTGCAAAATCTCTCTTAAGCATGCAACACACCACTCCGAACTCAACCTCTCCTTTTCTCTCCTTTAATCTGAAGTTAATTTACGACACCGCACACAAATCGTGGAAATTATTACTTTTGCTAGAGCCTCATTACCGCCTCTTGATACTTTTACTGGTTAAACTTCACGCCATTATGTAAAATACCGGGAGCAAAGCGACTGATTTCCTTAATCCCTTTCAGGCAAAGCCTCAGCTGCATCAAGGAGAAATGCGGTTCCACAGGAGAGAACACACGAGGCAGCTAAATTAAGATTTGCCTCCTTCGCCATTCAGATGACAAAGTGAGGATTATCTTTCTCGCTTTGTGAGCCTCGCCATTTTATTTTGTTTTTCAAACCACAGAAAGAAAAGAAAATGTTCTGGTTGGTTTCTTGAGGCCTCCTACAACGACCGTGATTGCAATTACTGAATTAGGCGACCATTAGCTTTCTTTCCTGGTGGCAGTAGTCCTGCAAGAAATGTAGGGGAGTAAGGGGAGAAATTCAGCTCCATTCGTATTTAAATGTAAAGTTACCAAATTCACATTTCCCAAAACAGTATGTGAAGCATAACACAGGTATCCTTCAAAATTTGCACTCTTCCAAATTTTGCAACACGTTTCTCCTGCCAAGCAATGTGATGGAAATGCATACACTGTGGCAAATTGTGTATACAAAGGAATATTTTAATGAAAACAAGATGTACCAAAATGCATCATATCAGGGGAAATTGCTTTGCAAAAGGTGCATTTGGGGCAAAATTATACTGTTACAGGCCACCCCAACCTCTGCCTATTGGCAGCAAGTCTTGGCACTTAACCAGGAGGGCTTGTGTTCCTTGGGAATGAGGCATGGCAGAGACTGTTGTGTCTTTATGCAGTATGGCTTATTTTACACATATTTAAAACTTGAGTTTCAGTGGAAGGAGTGCAGCAGAACGTTGCATCGCAAGAGTATCTATCACCTGTGTTATGTAGTGGTAGACTCATAATCTGGTGAACCAGGTTCGCGTCTCCACTCCTCCACATGCAGCTGCTGGGTGACCTTGGGCTAGTCACATTTCTCTGAAGTCTCTCAGCCTAACTCGCCTCACAGAGTGTTTGTTGTGGGGGAGGAAGGGAAAGGAGAATGTTAGCCGCTTTGAGACTCCTTTGGGTAGTGATAAAGCGGGATATCAAATCCAAACTCTTCTTCTTCTTCACTTCTCTTATAGGTTCAGCAAGCTTGGGTCCCAAGCATCAGCCAGTCAGCCAGCCTCCCAGGTCTCTGCGTGCAGCCTCCTCCAGCCACGTGGAGTCCTGCCCCTGCCTTCTTATTCCCAGAAACCCTTGCTCCAAAACCTCTGTTTTAAAAGGACATCTCTTTTAATGTGCTGACATCACGCCCCCTATTATACTGGCAACCTCCCCCTTTCAGTTCTTCTGTTTCTGTCCACTTCTCAGTTGGGGGAAGGACAACACCTGCCTGGTCAATTGTTCTTAATGGCTGTGTTTGTGTTCTTAATGGCACTGCTATCAGCAAACAGAGTAAATTACAGCTTCTGACTTCTTCTGGTTTTGGGATTGCTTTACTGTAGCACCCTGCTTGTGGTTAACGCTTAGCTGGAATGAAATATTCAACGCAGCAATAGAGAAATTAAAATAATAATTTATTTGTCAGACAAATAAATGAGAGACACAGTGGTATATGGTTACCAAAGCTCTGCCCACTCCAGCCCTGATGGCCAGCACTTATATTTCCTCAGCCCAGCCCCCTTGCTCCTCCTTTGGCTGCCTCTGTCCAATCAGCCTGGTTGAAATTCCTATTGGCTGTTTGCTAGAACCAATCATAAAAGATACACCCATTTCCTATTACCTTTTATGGGAGACAAAGAGCTATATTTCCTTCTATCCATAAATGGCAGACAAGTAGCCATATATCTTACATTTACCTCGACCAGGCACCTTAATTACCAGATAACCTTTGGCCCCTGCTGCCCTATTACCCTATTCACTGCAAAACAGATGGCTAAACCAGATGGTGCATAGTTTTTAATTTTTATCTTAAAGAGATCTTGGGTTCACCTTCTCACACACCATCTATGAAATAAGAATCTAACATAAGAATCTAACATTTCTTACTTTCTAAATCCTTTGCATAATTACATTTAAGCCAATATATTTCATACATAACATAGATAGATTTTTAGAAGGAAAGGAACTTAGTAAAAGCTAAGTTCTCTAAGTTCTCTGAAGCTTCAAAACAGCTTGGAGAGAAGCCTCTTTCCCTAGCCAGCTGCTGTTTCTAAAAGCAACTTCTTCAATTTACCCTTTAACCTTATGAAAATATGGCTCGAGTCTTCTGTTAAACAATAAATTTCACTATTTACCAACTCTTAATTGCGTTTTTGCAGCTTGATTGTATTCTGTAATTTGTATGGTCAGTGTGACCTTTTGCTCCCAGCCTGTTATTTCCTTTTACAACCCTGAAATACTGCTATAGATCAGTGGGGCCCTTGAACAGGAAGATAAACAGCTGCCAGAGTATTCAGCTGGTTTCTGCCTGGCATGAGAGATACAAACATTTACAAATATATTTTTTAAGCTCATGTTAAAATGCAGGTCTTCATCAGATGCCTCACTACCAGCCACTGGTGCTACACTGACTCTCTCAAATGCAACCGTAGGCAAGTTTGCCATATGTCCTGGACAGGTACAGGAGTCAAATGGCGAAACTATTGGGGGAGGGGGATTCAAAAAATCAGCAAAATGTCTGGGTTTTTACCAACAGAACCAGGAAGTGTGTGCTCCCCCCAAAAAGTTCAAAAGTTTTGAGGTTGACTTCCATACCTGAAGACAGCAAAACATTACACAGCTATTCATCTTGATATAGAAAAGATTGCTCTGCCAGCCAGTCACCTCAAGCATCTGTCATAACAAGATAAAGAAGTTAAGCAGACATCCATTCAGGCTGGGGAAGGGATTGTGTGAAACAACCAGTCTGCAACCGGCACTTTTCATTGTCCGGTTACTGGACTTTGTTCTCCCCACAGCTTTTGCCAGTTGTGTCCATTAGAGCAGAAACTTAAATTAGATACACATAATCTAAGACTAGTTATAAAAACTAAATAACCAGGGGGTTGGGGAGGAGTGGAAGGAAAGTATCTGTTATAATTTGTGGTGGACCAGCTTTTTTATATATATAATCACCTTGCACTGCAAGCATTAAACATATTTTTAGCACAAGCACTGAGGTTATTACCACAGATTGATGCAAAAGATCCATAGTGAGGAAGATAGCCTCACACTGCCCATCTGTTTTCCAACAAAATGTATTGTTATGGGTTTGTGGGGGTGCCAGATCCTCCCCATAATGCCTGGATTTGGTAAAAGTTAGAAATTAATCAAGGTTTGATTAAACTTTGCCAAACACAAAAACCAACTGCATCAGCCATTAGAAGGGGACAAAGGTATGGGAGAGTGGGGCCCCTTCCTTACTGCGTGCTAGTGGGCAGAGGCAAAGGCCAGGGTTTAGGGTTTCAACTTTGAAAGACAGGCTGTGGGGAATCCTTGGAGTCAGTTAGCAGGGAGGAGGAGAACTCCAGGTAAGCTACGGAAGACAGGTTGTAACTGGCACACAGGATAGTTTTTTGCAGTCCTTGATTTGTTTTTATATGATTTTATGAGCTGTGTTACTGGTTTTATGTTCTATTTTTGTTTTCATTGTGCTGTTTACTGGGGGTTTTTTTTTTGTTCAAACCACAAAGAGTTTCAAAAATAATTATGTGGTTTATGAATGTTTTAAATAAATAAAAAGCCAGAGAAACAGTCCAGGCTCCCTTGCACCCCTTTTGATCCTGTCTTCAAAACACTCCAATTGAAAACGAGCCTCTTAACGACACTGCTCCATCTACCTCTTTGGCATTTTCCGCGTTAGCTTCTGCGGGCAGCTGCCCCTCGCAGCCCCGCACATGGGAGATTCCGTGAGCGGCTTTCCGAACCACTCCCGGTACTGTATTGAAAACCACAAGCGGCTTGTTGACCCCCTTTGGGCTGCCTCTACCTAATGCGCGGAGAGGAGTCTTTGGGTCCTAACGGGAAGGCCCCCTCCACCGAGAAGGAGGGGCTGACCTCAGTATTGCCTGCAGCACATACTGAAAATATGGGCAGGCGAGTCGAGGTTCGCCCCCTCCCTCATATCTCCCTGACCGCCGTGATGGGCGCCGCGAAAAGGAGCCGGTGATGGGCGCCGCGTCCTGGAGATTTTAAGATCTCGGGCAAACGCGCGGGCACCAAGTACGGTGGCCGAGGAGGATCTTCGCCAAGATGGCGGCCGCCATAGCTGTGGTGGCTCAAAGAGCCTGCAGCGCCGGAGCCCTCAGAGCCGCGTGGAGAGGTGAAGCCCCTTTTTTACTTATTCTTGCTTCTTCGGCGGGGTCGGGAAGCTGTTGGCCTCCGGCTGCTCTCGCCCTTCGAGGCGGCGGCTTGTGTCCCTCGTACGTTCCCCTCGCCTGACTTCGGCCAGATCCTGCCGCCTCCCATCGCCGCCGCCTTGGGCCTTGTGGTCCTCGGTGTAGCGCAGCTGCCAGGCAGCGAAACCCCAGACAGGCCTCTGTCGCGAGGGTTCCTCACTCGCAAGCGACCGTGCAGATAGGATAGGATCGCACGTGTACCTGGGAGTAAAACCCCATGGAGTACAACGGGGCTGACCGTTGAGAGAATATGCAGCATATTTATCAGTTATTTTTAATGGTGGGTTCCCCCACCCCCTGTTTTTGTAGCGGTTCTTATTTTTATCTGTAATCCCTCTGGGGTGGGGGGAATGTGTTGTTTAGTCGTGTCCGACTCTTCGTGACCCCATGGACCTGAGCACGCCAGGAATGTAGGGCATAAATAAAAGAGCCATTTGGCGCCTAGATTATATATCTGAGTTTCTAACACTCTGCTCTGTTGAACATAGCCGCCCCCCAGTAAACGTACATAGTTTTTCTCTGCAGGAGGCTGACACATTATACAGTGGTACCTCGGGTTACATACGCTTCAGGTTACAGACTCTGCTAACCCAGAAATAGTGCTTCAGGTTAATAACTTTGCTTCAGGATGAGAACAGAAATCGCGCTCCAGCGGCGTGGCAGCAGCAGGAGGCCCCATTAGCTAAAGTGGTGCTTCAGGTTAAGAACAGTTTCAGGTTAAGAACAGATCTCCGGAACGAATTAAGTACGTAACCAGAGGTACCACTGTACCAATGGTCCATCTAGTTCAGTAGATGTGGGGCCCTCCAGGTGTTAAGACTTATAACTTCCACCATTCCTGAGCAACAACCACGCCGACTTGCAGTCAAACAACCCCTGGAGGTCATCACATTGGTAACCAGATGGCTATGTTGGCTGGCAGTGGATTTTCATAGTTTTAAACCTAGATCTTTTCCAGCCTTGGAGATGCCAGCGACGTTTAAACTGGAATGTTTTGCATGCATTCCCTTCCTGTCTCCTGTTCAGATCTCCCCCAGTTGTGAACTTAAAGCTGTGACCCACAGCTGCTGTTGAGCTGAAACTCCCAATAGCCCCAGCAGTCTTATATATGCTGACTTGGGATAAACGTCTCTAACGTGACTGCCTTCTGAGTAGACGTTTACACCGTTAAATCATTTGAGAGTCTTTCTCTAGTTCCATTAATGCACACTACCAACTCCGTAGGATTTACTTCTGAGTTTGCATTATGAAGATTGAACTGTTGCGAACAAGTGACAGAAAAAAGAACCTTGTTGCCTTTGAATCAGACCTAGTGTGCAATCTGATATTGCCTATCTGCCACTGTAACATGAACTGGAATAAAAACTATTTGAATGCATCTGTTCACAGGGGACATAAATAATGTAGGATATAGAACCCTTTCCACATAGTCACTGATTAATTAAAAAAACTTCGTGCAAGTACACTTAATACCGCATTTTGGCCATTCAGCAGCTGCTGCAAAAGTGGGAGAGGAGCTCAGAAGCACTTAAAGTAGCTGATGAAATCTGTGCTAGAAAGCCACTTGAGTAAATGGTAGAAGTGAAGGACTATTCTTAAGTCTGAAGGTGATGCTGGCATATGGGTTTGCCCTAAGGCCACCTGCTTGCCTATTCCTTCAGGAGGAGAACTGTGGGAGTTATAAAGCCACGGTAAAGGCTTGTAATATTGCAGGGTGCCCCCTGACCTCGGCTGACCAGCACTCTGAGCTTTACAATGTATTGGAATGTATTGACCTTAAATGGAGTTGTGTTTCCTCTGGGCAGTGATGACCCTATATGGTGATGGGGGCAATAAAAGCCTTGACCGGATGAGGTAACGTGAGACATTGGCAAACGGCCATGCGGCTGGAGAGAGACAAAGGATAATAAAAAAGTTACCGGAGGAGAGAGAAGTTCGAAAGGAGCTGCTCATACCATCATGAAAATATTGCTGGCTCTCTGTGTCTTTATTTTATGCTAAACTGCGCCATTTGTAACGGCTGGCTCCGACAGAGAACCTCTTTGCTTTTATGAGCAACATTTGCTTAAAATTGTAGGCTTATATTTATATATAAAAATATTACTACACTGCCCACTCCCTTAAAATATTGATGCGGTTTGCAACAGTGACCCTGCTCCTTCACATACCCTTCTTTAGAGTTAGAAGAAATTGCAGTTGGAGAGGCTTGGACCTTTTCTTTACTTAGGCAAGAGTGGGCAACCGTGGAGCCCTAAAGCACTGCATGCAACATTAAAGGCCTCAGATGGAGAGCAGGCCTGGCAGTGGGAAGGACCAGGGACAAATCCCCACTCCAGCATTCCATTACCCTGAATCACTCTCATTCATAGCCTTCCTCCCCTACAGCTCCCCTTCCCTGTCATCTAACTTAGTGGTTCCCAGACTTATTTTCCACAGACCACTTGAAAACTGCTGAGGGGTCTTGGCAGACCCCTTAATTATTTTTCTGCCTGTTGCAGCAACTGTGTTTTTTATTGCTCCTTTTGTATATATTCTGTGGAATTCAAGCTGTAATACAGGGGTCTGGAAACCAAGCCTTATGAGGAATGGTTGAGGGAGTTGGGTATGTTTAGCCTGGAAAAGAGGAGACAGAGGAAATATGATAGCCATCTTCAAATGTCTCAGGAAGTACTTTCTGGCAGTAAAAACTGTTTGACAGTGGAACAGTCTCCCTCAGGAAGTGGTAAACTCCTTCCTTGGAGCTTTTAAGCAGAGGTTGGATGGCCGTCTGTCATGGATGCTTTAGCAGAGATTCTTGCATTGCAGGAGGTTGGACTAGATAACCCTTGGGGTCCCTTCCAACTCTACAGTTCTATAATTCTATGACATAAGAAATGATGCAATAAAGATACAATTAAAAACCAATCTGAATGTTTAATGTGATGGGTATGCCATCTCCTGACTTCGACCACAAATCCACAGATCACCAGAATGAAGCTTACAGTTTGGGAACCTCTGGACTGGTCAATAAGCACAGGGGATAGCTGAAGAATGTACAGATCAGCTATTTCCAGTGCCAGTTGGCTGGGATGGAGTCCTTTAGAGTCCCATGGGTTGTCCATATGCCACTTAGGGAGACCTGTTATTAAGAGCCTGAGGCACCCCTGAGCTAGGATTCTCTGAAATAAAGGGTACCCATTAATTTGAGGTGTTGCCATATTTTGAAGTAAAAGGCATTTGAGCAATTGTGTCCCTGAAAGGAGGTGAAACATGCACTATGCAGGGTTGTGATTAATCGGGCTGTACATTCCCTTGGGGCTTCTTGTTCAGTGTAATTCTGTTTGTAATGCAATTTAGCATTTTGCCTTTTGTGATTCTGTTCAGATAAAAGATACAGAAAACTTGAGGTGAAGGAGTTTGTTGCCCGCTAGAAGATTAAAATTAATAGGACTGGATGTTTCTAGAGCTGCAATCTTGCAGCTTAATCAGGTTTCTTTGTACATTAACTTTCCCAGAACATTGCAGCTGTTTCAGCCCAGGTGTTTTCTGTTCACAGTCGTGGAGAAAGGGAGCAATTTATAGACAGGCAGAAGCTGCGGGAGTTCCTCCACCTTCCTGTGTGGTTATTCATCAACCATAACTATTTCTGTTGCTCCCATATTAGTTCTGCATATTGGGCGACTCGCTATAAACCAGTAGTTCTCAGTTGTGTTTCAGAGAATCCCAAAGCTCATTGGGATTCCAGGATTTTTCCAGTGAGAAGATCACTTTCTTCAATGCCAGCTTTGCCAATCCATTCAGTCTTCCTGCTTTAATGTGAAGCCACAAAGAGCAGTCCTCTTCTTTGAAATTTAATCCAAAAATGGGTCTTTGAAACTTGCTGTGAATCTTGCCCTCATTTTCCCCACCCGAAACCCAGTCATGCCTTGTCCTGGTGTTGTAGCTAACTAACTTTAATGCAAGTCTATTTTTAAATATCAGCATTTCTGTATTGCAGGAAGTTGGACGAAATGACCCTGAGGGTCCCTTCCAACTCTACTATTCTGTGATTCTTGTAACTTATTGAAGGGTTTTGTTAACATGGATCTTGACATTTGAACTTGTTCTGTGAAGTGTTTTAATTAGTGTTGCTAATTAATTAAAGTGTTTTAATTAGTGTTTTCATTTATTAGTTGCTCTTTTCAGAAAGGTGAAACTCAAAGTGACTTACAGAAACAAACAGTAAATAAAAACATGAAACCAAGAGTAAAAATAATCTAAAATGCTTACCAATGAGATATATATATAAAAGAGCAGATCCAGCTCAACCCTATTCCACTAAGTCGAAAAATTGTGGAGCAGTGACCTGAGTGAATAAGAATGTGTTGTTGTTTTTTTGCCTGGCACCTAAACATGGATAGTGATGGCACCAGGTGTAACGCCCTAGGGAGAGCACTCAACAAGTGGGGAGCCACCACAGAGAAGGCCCTTTCTTGTGTTGCCACCCTCAAAGTGTTCTAAGAATAGAGTTCATAGGGTTGTTGTATTATGCTTACACACAAGTCTCATGGGTTAATTTATTTTTTGCTTGCTATTTGTTTTTTAATTAATGATTTAACAAAGAAAGTATAATGGTGGGAAAGCAGGGGGGGGGAACTAAGAGGGAAGAGGAGAAGGGAAAAAACCTGAAACAATAAGCTGATATTAAGATACAATAACCGCTCATACATCCATCTTAATTTAAACATATACATTATAAAAAATCATCCAAATATCTAGATAAGTATCCACATAAAATCAATGCTGATAAAAAAAATGGCCTCAAGTGTAGCAAGGCCCTCAGAACAGGTTGCCTAACTATCCATAGCATGAACTTCTTAGCAGAAACCTATACAAAACAGACGCTATGGGAATCTGAAAACGCTGTTGGTTAAGAGGCAAGTGCTTGATTAACAAAAAAGTCTTTAATTGGTTGACAACCCTAGTTAAGACTAATGATGATGTTTACTGTGGTGCCTGGTGATGTAGCACTGAAATCAGTTACCTGCCGGTGTTTATAACTCTTGTGTTTATTATCCAGTAGCTCCTTTTCCTTCTAATCGGCTTTCTGTGCATTTTCCCATCCTCATCCAGCTAAAATCAATTTCTTTATTGGGCATCTGTTGTAAACTGTTGTCTTTGCCTCATTTCTCCGATTCTGCTATCAGACTTCTCATTGGAATTGGCTCCCTCTCCCTCCATCATGATAATTCTGTTGAAATTGTTTTCACCAAACGCTGTTCGCCTTCCGTCTTGTCTTAATAAGGGTTAAGCACCAGGCAATTGGGTTTCAGTGCCCATTGAGAGCTGGCTGTTAGGCCAGGTGAGCCAGAAACTCAGGCGTAAACCACAAACAAGGATCATGGGAAGGTACACCATCAAGGGCAAGCAGCGGGCATGCATTCATTCATTTATTATGTTTGTATACCACATTTTCCTCCAAGGAGCTCAAGATACATGGTTCTCCCATCTCCCTCCCCATTTTATTCTTACAACAACCCTGTGTGAGGTAGCATAGGCTGAGAGACAGTGACTGGTGCAAGCTCACCCATTGAGCACTGTGGTTGAGTGCGGATTCAAACCCTCATCTTCCAGGTCCTAAGCCAACACTCTAACCCAGTGTTTCTCAAACGTGGGGTCCCCAGCGGGACTACAACTCCCATCATCCCTGACCACTGGTCCTGCAAGCTAGGGATGATGGGAGTTGTAGTCCAACAACAGCTGGGGACCCAAGGAAAGTGTTTGGATTGGCATAGGCTCCAGAAGCATTGGTTTAATACACCACGCTGTGCTAAATGCCTTATGGCAGAGGTTTTCAACCTTTTTGAGTCCATGGCTTCCTTGACCAACTACATTTTTTTTGTGGGACCCCTGTGGGGCTCAGGAGCCCAGCTATGTCACCCCTTGCCCGCAGAGCTGGCAGCCTCTCACCCTTTTTCAAACACCCTCCCTTGTGGAGTGTTCTCTCAGCCTCCTCTCCCTACTGCTTGGGATTCCTCCGGGCAGCCACTGCTGCCACCCCTAGTCTCTGAGCTGCCTCCCCGCAACCCCCAGCCAGCCCCAAGAGTCCCAGAGGCACCATTCGCCTGTGGAGCTTATAGCCAGGGCTGCTGCCATAAACAGTTGTGCAACCCTTTAGGAGTCAGAGATGCGAGAGGGCATCAGAGGAGGGATGGAAGGAAAGAGGGACAGAGGCCAGTGTTGCTCAAGGCACCCCTGACCATCATTCAAGACACCCTGGTTGAAAACCACTATCTTATGGGGATGATTTGACATTGGGGATGCAGCATAAATCAATCAGTTAGATTAATAGACCTAAAGCCTATTAAGATTTCTGTTAATAAATCTAAAAATAGTGTCCCCAATTAATTTGGCAGCTGGGGTTTCAAAAACCATCATTTTTAATGCAAAAACGGCAAGTGGCAGGATTGTCTTAGAAGAGACATTCCCCCTTTCCTAAGAAGGCATGTGCATGCATTTGTCCAAAGAAAACAAGCAAAATGTGCTTCCTTTTCTTCTTCAGAAGTATTATATTATTTACCTTAATTTAATTTATCAGCTAGCATTTCTTTAACTGGGTGACAGCCCTGTTGGTTAGGTTAACCTCTCTTTGCTTCTCTCCCCAGGCTGCGCCTTGATTCCAGGGTCTGGAGTCAATTGTCAGTATGCTACCTTGGCATGTGCTTTCCAGACGCATTGCTACATTTCCGGCCCCCGCGACGTGACCGTGCAGCCATGCAGGCGCAGCAGCTTCTTCAATAAATGTAAGTCTTGTAAACAACAGGTGCTGTGGCTTAGAAACAACATTTGCGTAGCTTTTCTCCCCTCTCAGGCCACCGTCCTGTATCCATTTAACCTGTCCATTGAAGCCCTTGAAACTGAGCCTACCTAACTGCGTACCAACTTGATTTCAGTAGGAGGGAGTTGAACACATACTTAGGCTGCACATGTCCTGATGTGCTCGCTCGGGACTTCATGTCCTCCACGGAAACCAAGAGACTGTCTTAGTGCATCAGGGGCCTAGCGTGCGGCCAGAGATGAAATTGCTCAGATTCATGCAGAATTGGATGCCAAAGTCTTGAGGAAGCATCCAAAGCACCATCTGGTCAGGTTATTGTGGATCAGTTTGATTTGTGGCAGTCTGAGAATGTGGAGGTGCTAGCAGCAAGAATATTATTGGCACAAAAATGGAAGCAAGAAGAATTACCGATGAAAGAAGAATGGCAGATGAAATTGATGGACTATGCAGAATTAGATAAATTAACAGGAAGGATTTGAAGCCTGTGAGACCAGAGATTCTTAGAAGACGAGTAAATATATGAACGATTTGAAAAGTAACTGTAATGAACAGATTATGCTAGTAGGACTGCAAGACGTTTTGTAAGGAGGACTATCTGAAATATTGCAAGAAAGACTATGAGGAGAATTATTAGTTAATGATAATTAAGAGTAATAGAGAAATTAAGAAATGCAGAATAAGTGATAAAGAACAAAAAAAAATCATCAGAGGTGTTGACGGAAGTCTAAAATATTGTATAAGATACGAAGTTATGTTATATGATTGTTGGAAATGATATGTTAAAAAAACCAATAAAAATGTATAAAAAAATTAAAAAAAGAGAATGTGGAGGTGCTATAAGCCCCTAAGAAGACTTGTGTGGGCCCACAAGGGCTGAGCAACTATCACCCAGTCACCAATATCCCCCTTTTAGGCAAGGTGTTGAAGTGGATAGTGGTGATCCAACTGCAGGCACGTTTAGATAATTTACCTGGGCCCTTTTCAGTCTTGCTTCATGCCTGGATAGGGTACCAAAGCTGCCTCAGTTGCGCTTGTTAAAGCCCTTAGGAGACGGACAGAGAAGTGGTTTTCTTCGACCTTTTGTCAGCTTTTGATACCATCAAGAAAAGTACTGTTGGATCAGGCCAAAAGCCCAGCATCCTGTTCTCACAGTGGCCAACCCAGAGGATTATGGGAAGTCCAGAAGCAGGACCTGTGCCACAACACCCTTTTTTTTATTTATTCCCAGCAACTGGTATTCAGAGAATGCTTCCTCCAACAGTGGTGAGAGAACATAGTCATAAATATATATAAATGCAGTAAGTTGATCCCAACTCTTTATTTATTTGCTTATTCTTTATATTCAGCGTGGTTCGCACTTCAAGACAAGGGTTGGGAATCATTGGCCCTCCAATGATTGGTGTAGCATTGGGGGGGCAGAGGGGCAGTGTCCCCAGGAGCAAAATTCTGGAGGGGCGCAATGCCCATGCCCCATGTCTCCTGGGCTTCCCAAGCCAGAAGGATGAGAAAGGCACGCAGCCACTGTCACCAGCAGCCATGTGCCTTGCAGGTTCCGCACACCCCATCCTCTGGCCGGCGCCTCCACCCCAGCTGCCCAGTCCACTAAGGGGGCACAACACTTTCCCCCCTCCGGGCATCAGCAGCCCACGCTACACCACTGGAACTTCAGCTCCCATCATCCCCAGCAAGCATAGCCAATAGCCAGGGGTGATAGGGGTTCTCCTGCAGCAACCTATAGTGGGGCAAAGTTTCCCCACACCTGGTTTAAGATAACATTTATTACACCCAGTACACAAGTGTGAAGGGAAGAGGAAAAGAAGTGCATGGAGGCACCTTTGCATGTGATTGAACTTGGAGAGGAGGAGCAAAATAACAGATAGGTCCCACCTGAGCTGGCAGAGAAGAAGAAGAAGAAAATTGTATTTATATTCCGCCCTCCCCAGCCGAAGCTGGGCTCAGAGCGGCTAACAACAATAAAAGTACAGTGGTACCTCGGGTTAAGTACTTAATTGGTTCCGGAGGTCTGTTCTTAACCTGAAGCACCACTTTAGCTAATGGGGCCTCCCGCTGCTGCCGTGCCACCGCAGCGCGATTTCTGTTCTCATCCTGATGCAAAGTTCTTAAGCTGAAGCACTATTTCTGGGTTAGCGGAGTCTGTAACCTGAAGCGTATGTAACCTGAGGTACCACTGTAACACAGCATTCTAAAATCAATTCATTCTAAAATTAATTCAGAATCAAATTAATGGCAACCATTGGGCTAGAATTCTATGAGAATTACCAAAGGAGGGAGTCAGACTGTGCCTTGGCCAAAGGCCTGGTGGAACAGCTCTGTCTTGCAGGCCCTGCGGAAAGATGTCAAGTCCCGCAGGGCCCTAGTCTCTTGTGACAGAGCGTTCCACCAGATCGGGGCCACGTCCGAAAAAGCCCTGGCTCTGGTTGAGGCCAGCCTAACCAAGGCCGTGCTTTGGATCGATTGGATAAGCCCTCCTGGATCTGACCAAAGCCTTATCTGGAAGCAGCATCCTGTTTTCGGAGTAGCCAACCAGATGCCTATGGGAAGCCCTCAGGCAGGACTTGAGTGCCACAGCTCTCTCCCCCTATAATGCCCCAGCGGCTGTCATTCAGAGGCATGCTGCTCTTGGGAGGTAGCATCCAGCCTGGAGGTGCTATCCAGCCATCACAACGTGTTATCAGTCTCTTGTCACAATCTGTGCCCTTTTGCTTTGTGATATTTAACCGTAAGGAGCCGAATGCCTCGTGCATGCTTTGCTTTCCATGACGAACATTTGAAGGCCCTCTTCTGTGTCCCTGTGGCTAGTTAAGAGCTCAAGAGCTGGGAATTTGGGGGAAATCACACAAAGTGATCAATGTCCTTTGACGCCGGCTGGGCAGTGTCACGGTATGAGGTGTTGCAGGAGACTGGAAGGAGCACTTAGCGGCATTGTCACCACAAGCTGTGAATTGATTCCTTTCTGTTTCCATTCCTTTCTGCCTTGACTGTGGAAGATGGAGAGGCAGCAGGGTTGGGGAGGGAGCAAGGCTGCTCCCTTTTAAGAAGTGATGGTTCATGTGGCTGATGGGAGGAGAGGAAAATAAGTTAGATACAGGATGCCAGGGGAGGTGAGAAGAAAATAAGAGTCCCTGTCTGGGTTCGGGTCTGAGAAGAAACTGTTACTGAAAAGGAAGCTGAGCAAAGAATAGATGGAGGAAAGCTGTGGACCAATTTGCAAGTAATTTTTGACACAGGCTACCTCAGTGCAGTCATTCTCAGTCTGCATACGTCTCTGCAGTCACATGGAGAAAGACCTGTCTGGACCTGGCCTGAGCTTTCTGGACCTGCCCCCTCATTATAGTAATCTTAACCTTGAGGAGGGGGGACAGAGGGCAAAGCCAGTTAGGAGGGAAATTCAGCAGAACATCTGCTCTGCATGCAGAAGCTCCTCTGCAACTCCAGGTGGGGCTGTGAATGCCCTGCTTCTGATATCCTGGAGAGACACTTCCGGTCAGGGTAGACAGCATTGAGCTATATGGACCAATGGTCTCCATATGAGGCAGGTTCCTATGTTCCCATGTATTGAAGTTGGTAGCCACTCATCTGCTCAACTGCAGCCCATCTTCATAGCCGTGTTTCCAGACACACACTCATGATTTGGTAGGCATTCATATTCAGCAAGCCATGATGATGATGATTCAAGATGGTTATGAAGAAGATGTGAGCTTTATCCATCCAAAGCATTAATAGGTCAGGCTACAGACCCAAGATGCCCATGACCTCGTTTTTGATCCCTGCAAACGGTCTCTCGGCGACACTTCAACACTTTCTCAAGGCACAGTCGGCTTGGCATACCTTAGATTAAATGACACCTGAGCATGTTTTCCCCACCCCACCCCCTTGAATTGCTGCTGTTAAGAATTTGGATGAGTTGTGTGCAATATGTGTTTCAGTGACGGCTGATCAGCTCTGGAAAGGCGTTTTGGCAGAGAGCGGTGCCAGTGGAAGGAAAGGAAGAGGGAAGAGGACCAAGAAGAAGCTGAAGAAGGATCTCAATAGAGGCCAGATCATTGGCGAAGGTAAATCCACAACATAAGCAAGAGGCCAGAAACGTCTTCATTCATATTGGGTCCCTGTAAGAGTGAACTCTAGTTCCACTCCCATCAGCGCTCAACACCAGGCTGCTTAGATGTGAAAGGGAGGTATCTTCATGCTTGGGGGGACCCCAGAGTTTGCAGAAGTAATACATATAAATAATTTGAAACCCTATTGAGGGCACACACACACACACACACACACACACACAACCAACCAGCTCTGGGAGGACATAGTTAGCCACAGAATGCTAAGTCTAGGAGGTGTGTAAACAAGAAAGTAAAAAATACTCTCTGTGCAAATATCTGATTCTGCGGTGTGCACAGCGAGGTTTGGGTACTACAGTGGTACCTCGGTTTACAAACACATTGGGTTACAGACTCCACTAACCCGGAAGTAGTACCTTGGGTTAAGAACTTTACCTCAGGATGAGAACAGAAATCGCACAGCGGCGGTGGGAGGCCCCATTAGCTAACGTGGTAACTCAGGTTAAGAACGGTTTCAGGTTAAGAGCGGACCTCTGGAATGAATTAAGTTTGTAACCAGAGGTACCACTGTAATTCCGCATGTTTGTATAAGTGATTTTTTTTCACATAGCGAATGTTTGTAAAGCGAGACCTGTGCGTACTGTATTTTTATTTGTTTTGAAATACATCCGGTCCCCCAGTCCCAAAATGGGACACCCCCACCCCCAAGTTGGCTAAATAAATGTTGCTTATTGCTTTTGGTTTACTGAGTTCATCCTCTTCTGTGTTCTATCTCAGTGCACACTGCTTTGTCAGCTGAAGCAGGTTATATATCCACAAACAGAGAAATAAAATGTATTTATTATCAATATACTTAGTGCACGCTGTTTTCCTTAATTGTAGTTTAGCTCCCCACCCCATTCATCCTAAAAAGCAGTTGAATCTTAACACCGGACGATGCTTGTTGTACAGCTTCAGCTCATTTCACGGTTACGGCTGTGATCTGGGAAGTACCCTAAGTCGTTCTTGTGCTCTCCATCTGCCTTAGGACGCTCAGGTTTCCTCTGGCCTGGCCTCAACGCTCCGGTACTGAAACAAGGAGCGGTCCAGACCATTGATCAGCGGGATAAAGAGGAGCAGGAGAAGGTGCAAGCAGAAAAGCTCCGTCTGCGGGAAGAGTTTGACAGGAAAAGAAAGATAAAGGTGAAGAGGGAGAGAGGATGGACTGGAAGATCTTGGGGCGGTATCAGCCTAGGACCCCCGGATCCAAGTCCTACTGGAGGTAAGATAACTAGGTGCATTCTAGTTGTTTTATTTGTGCATTTCATAAAACTTATTCCGTGCATGTCTGTGTAGCTCAGTGGTAGAACATCTGCTTTTCTTAAGGCACTATTGGGGTTGCTAATAACTCCCTTAAGAAAAGGTTTCTATAAGCTACAGCTTGATCAGGGGTGGGGAACCTCGGGTTCAGGAGGTTATGTATGGCCCTCCAGGCATCTCTGTCCAGCCCTCAAGACTCTCTTCTGTTAAATAAATCATGATACAGTGTAATGTGTCATGTGTTGTTGTTCGTCCGAGGTTGCATTTACCTAATTTTAAGGCCTTCTAAGGAACAGGTGGTTGTTATTATGTTCCAATATGTAAAATCACAGAATTCAAAGAGGGGGTACTTTCTTTTTCGCATGACTATCAATTGTCATCTGAACTTATGAGTACAGTGGTACCTCGGGTTACATACGCTTCAGGTTACATACACTTCAGGTTACATACGCTTCAGGTTACATACGCTTCAGGTTACAGACTCCACTAATCCAGAAATAGTACCTCAGGTTAAGAACTTTGCTTCAGGATGAGAATAGAAATCGTGCTCTGGCAGTGCGGCGGCAGCAGGAGGCTCCATTAGCTAAAGTGGTGCTTCAGGTTAAGAACAGTTTCATGTTAAGAACGGACCTTTGGAACGAATTAAGTATTTAACCTGAGGTACCACTGTATCTTAAAAAAAATATGTGAACAACCTGCCTGACTGCTTAACACAGTTTGCAATGGACAATTGAAAAATATACAGATGAAACAACACCAAGAAAATATAATAACAGGAACCTAGGAAGCTGCCTTATACTTGGCCCATCTAGCTCCATACTGAATACACTAACCGGCAGCTTTCCAGGGTTTCAGGCAGGAGCTATCCCCAGTCCTGCCTGGAGATGCCAAGGTTTGAACCCGAGACCTTGTGCATGCAAGCTCTTCCACGGAGCCGTGGTCCTTCCTTCGTCAGCCTAAAGAGCCATAGAAGGCTGTACAGTGACTTGGGCAGTCGATCTGTTTAACGCAGAAGTACTTCTCTGGCTGGCAGTGATTTTCTAGGGTCTCCGGCAGACAATTTATCTTCTTGAGCTGGAGGTGCCGGGGATGGAACTCAGGGGCGACTACATGCAAATCATGCGCTCTTCTGCTGAGCTATGGTGCTTTGGGTTCAGAGAGGTTTCTGGCATTTTAGAGCGATGTGTCTGATGTGACATGCCGCTTGCCATGCTCTGCCTGCCTGCCAGTGGGAGTTGGCAGCCTTGCAGAATGCTGTCCTCATTTCCAGCACATCCACTGCAGCCCCATCACTTTCCTGGAGCAAGTCCCTAACACCTGCAGTGGGCAGAACTGGGTGGGTATGGGTGCTGTGCGGCAAGCATTTAGAAGCCTGGTCTGTGCAAAGTACTTTGGCTCGGCGCTGTTCCCTTAACTCTGCAGAGATGTTGCAGTGATTGCATCTGACTGATTACAGGCTCCCCACCCCTGGCAGCCTTTTCAATTGAAATGCAGAGCAAGATGGCTGTTAACTCTGAGACATGACTTGATTTGAAGTGCCTGGGGTGGTCGTGCATCTCCCCCCCCCCAAAAAAACCCCCCCACAACTTCCCTCTGTCGCTGTGCGAGCAACATGTGTTGGATAAGACCTGAGCCCGTTTATTTGTTTGATTTGAATCCTTGCAAACCGTTTCATAGTTGGTCACTCAGCGTGCTCGTTTCTAAAACAATACCCTGCTGTGGTGTCGGCCCGGTACATGTGAGCCGTTTATAGCCTGGCTGCTCCTGTTAGACCTTAAAACACTCCGCGATCTACGCCTGACTGCTCAGCCAGCTTACGGTATCCCTTTGGCCGATAGCGTGTGCAAGGAGGCAGCTCTAAATTTAGCCGAAAATGTCATTGTCTGTATGCAATCTGTTCGCTTCCTAACATGGCATGCTAGTTTTAACACTTTGCAGAGCTTTTAGCAGTGGAAAATCAGCAGGAGAAGCACAGTAAGATTGGGACTCACCACATTCATAAAACTGCCTTCCTTGTCTCTCCCGTTCTCCTTCCCTTTGCCACAAATGCAAACGCACAAGCGGAGTTGAAATTTGGGCCCCATCTTCTCTATACCTTTTTAAGCACCATTATGCCACTTCAGAGGGACGCGGGTGGCGCTGTGGGTTAAACCACAGAGCCTAGGACTTGCCGATGAAAAGGTCGGCAGTTCGAATCCCCACGAAGGGGTGAGCTCCCGTTGCTCAGTCCCTGCTCCTGCCAACCTAGCAGTTCGAAAGCAAGTGCAAGTAGATAAATAGGTACCGCTCCGGCGGGAAGGTAAACAGCGTTTCTGTGCGCTGCTCTGGTTCGCCAGAAGCGGCTTAGTCATGCTGGCCACATGACCCGGAAGCTGTACACCGGCTCCCTCGGCCAATAAAGCAAGATGAGCACCGCAACCCCAGAGTTGGCCATGACTGGACCTAATGGTCAGGGGTCCCTTTACCTTTACCTATGCCACTTCAACAGTCATGGCTTCCCCCCAAAGATTCCTGGGAACTGTAGATTGTTATAGGTGCTGAGAGTTGATAGGAGACCCCTGGTTCCTTCACAGAGCTATACTTCCCGTAGTGGTTTAATAATCAATCCCTCTTCCCTGGGAACTCTGCATGGCCTGATCATGCTTGAATCAGACCTAGGCGAGGTAACATCTTTATGCAGCTATATTATATGGAGATGATGCATTTATGTGTATGTGAGCTGTACATCTCTGACTCGCATTTTCTTTACCGACAGAAACATACGAAGATTTCGACTCCAGAGTGATTGAGGTAAGCGCTGCAAAACATCTGCAGGGATTCGCACCTTAAACACAAAATGCTTCTGGTCTTACCGTCCTTTGACTATAACTCACTAATAATGGGAGCTGGGGAATTCTGAAGTAGCGTTATTACAGCTGTGAAGAAAAGTGTGCTATTCCTTTGGCTCTGCCACAGCGCCCAGTTCAAAGGACTCTTGGATAGAGTTCAAAGGCTGCAAAGCTCCAAAGTCAACCATTAGGTTAGCCGCTAGAATTATAGAATTGTAGGGTTGGAAGGGACCCAATAATCATCTGGTCCAAGCTTGAGAGAAAAAGAGGGTTTTCTGCAAATGTTTTTTCTAATTTACGTTCTTTTACCCCGGTAACGAAGCCATGAACAAAACAACTTTTGACTCTCTGCTCTTGGAAAAGCAATAAGTAGCTTGGAATCCATCCCACCTTTCTTTTGCCTTGTTTGCATAGGTGTATTAGCTAGGGATTTCTTCTACCTGGTGCATTCATGTCATCCAGGGACGAGGAATTCAGACCCAATAACCAAATACAGCCATGCAAGCCTATTTGCCTGGCTCTGTGGACTCTCTTCAAACCACATCTCTTTGCCAGCCATGCCCCTCTCTTACGCCTTCACACCCTCCTTTGAAAAATTATGTGATTTTTTATATATAGACTTTTTACAAACTATGCATTCGGAGGATTTTATTTTCATTTCCCATGCCTGGTGTGTCATATGTCCCTGACGGACCCTCCTTTCACTTTCAGAAATGCTTTTTTTAAACTTTCAGTGAGTGACCACTTGCCCCTGTTCGAATGCCGAAACATTGCTTTTGTGTGGCATCTAATCGTTCTTTTGCCCAGAGCCTGGATTCGATTTGCATGTGTAATCTATGGGAATTTGCAGTTAGTCACAGCTCCTATATGATGTACTGGTAAAGGGACCCCTGACCATTAGGTCCAGTTGTGGCCGACTCTGGGGTTGCGGCACTCATCTCGCTGTATTGGCCGAGGGAGCCGGCGTACAGCTTCCGGGTCATGTGGCCAGCATGACTAAGCCGCTTCTGGCGAACCAGAGCAGCGCACGGAAACACCATTTACCTTCCCGCCGGAGCGGTACCTATTTATCTACTTGCACTTTGACGTGCTTTCGAACTGCTAGGTTGGCAGGAGCTGGGACTGAGCAACGGGAGCTCACCCCGTCGCGGAGATTCGAACCGCTGACCTTCTGATCAGGAAGTCCTAGGTTCTGTGGTTTAACCCACAGCGCTACCTGTGTCCCCCTGTATGAGGTACTTGTTAGCAAACGTGTACATCATAGGTGTACTCCTAAAAAAGTACACTGTGTGAGGGTGTTCCTATTGCCACTAGCTCATAGCTTAGTATTAGTGAAGATACTCATAGGCTGCATTTCAGATTTCGTAAAACATTTTGCAGCCTTTCTGAACCTGCTTTCTTTTCTGTCGCCTCTTCAGAATGTGTGTTGCGAGTTCTCTTTCGAGAGCAGCTTGAAATTGCACCCCATACGCAATTAACTTTTGTATTGAGGTCAGCAGATTGTTGAACCCAGGCTTAGAGCGTTTTCAATCGCGTGCCAGTTTTCGCTTATCGTTACTGGGAGGAAAGCCGAGGTGCTCGCCGAAGGCACCTAGCAACAACTCAGATCACAATTCCACGTGGGCTGAAATTTGAATTTCAAAGCAGTATGAGTATCCTCCGGCAGCGTTTCAATTATTTCTGGGGTGGGCAGATGGAGGAATTGCAATAAGTGAAATGCAGGGTGCTAAAGGAGGCCTGGCACTTTAATTGCACTTTCAGTTCTGTAACTACAGCGTAATGTGCTGCACTTGGTTCTTGTTAGAGCTGGTGGAGTGAGTAGAACTGATTGCCACCAGTAGGCTGGCATGGGGTGGAGACTCACATAAGAAGAGCTTATGGGGTTGCAACTCTGGGGTTGCAGCGCTCATCTCGCTTTATTGGCCGAGGGAGCCAGTGTACAGCTTCCAGGTCATGTGGCCAGCATGACTAAGCCGCTTCTGGAGAACCAGAACGGCACACGGAAATGCCGTTTACCTTCCCGCCAGAGCGGTACCTATTTATTTACTTAACTAAATGAAACTTAACTAAAGAAACATTGCCACATAAAAACCAGCTGCTAAAAAATACAAGGAAAATCCATAGTAAAGGACTAAATCCAAGCATCCACGAAAGATCAGGAAGCAAAATAATTAAAAATGAAAATGAGATAAAAAGTATAAATTTCACCTTTTTTTAAAAAAAAAAAAACCCGATTCACAATGAAGCAAAAGAAAATCAACTCATTCTTCCCCACCACCACCAATCAATCAATCAATCAATCAATCATCCCATTATCGTGTGGCTATCAGGAATGTAGAAAGAGACAACAGTTAATGTTGCCTTGTCCTGTGTGTGAACTTCCTGTCCAGGGTACAATTCAACACATCCTTAACCTTCTTTCTTGCAATGCGTTGACTTTAATGTTACGCAGGTGTAACATTACTGAGGCCCAATTTGTGGGGTGGTATTGCAACTAAGTTTTACTCAGCGTAGACCTGTTGGCAAGTACAGTCTCAAAAAGTAACATTTATAAAACCCTCAGTACTGTCTTTCTCACAAAAGTGTTTTGTCAGTCACACTAAGCAATTTTCCTTTCTTTTTTTCTGTGTAAAAACATTTTAACTTGCATGTTTCCTTAGGGACAACTCAAAACATCAGTTCTGAAAAGACTGTGGGTGAAACGACCCACAGAAAAATGCAGGAATATATATATACAGTATCGCAAACAACGAATTCAGGCGTCAATCAAAAAGGAATTGAGGAATAATCATTAAATTCCCATCTTTGGGGGGTTAGTTGAGGGAGTATCTCAGAAGAACAAATCCATTCACAAAAATTAATCCTGTTATTAATTTCTGGTGAAATCTGAATTCATTTATCTGCCCACTTATCCCTTCCTGACCAGGCAAATAGGTGAAACAGACTGGAAGTTGTGGACTCCCCTTCCTCAGAGGTTTTTTAAGCAGAGGTTGGATGGGCATCTCTCATGGATGCTTTAACTGAGATTCCTGCATTGCAGGGGGTTGAGCTGGATGACCTTGGGGGGCCCTTCCAACTCTGCGATTCTATGAAACCGCTGTGACATTAACATGTGAGAGCGCTGGAGGTGAAATAGTTAAACAGGTTACGCAATCAGAACCCAGGGGGGTGGAGTCAGAGGGACTATAAAACCAGCTCTGGGAGGGGTGAAGGGGGGAGTTCGTTGGGAGGTTGGTTGGAGTGGGAGTGAATTGGGATAGAGTCTGTGGGTAGGTTGAGTTAGTGTAGCGAAATAAGCTGAGTCAGGAACAGTTAGGGGCTAGGAAGACAAGTAAATATCTGAGAGGTGGTTTAGTGAGTGAGAGCAGGTAATGGAAGTTATAGGTCTGGATAGGCACTCCATGATTGCAATTGTCCGATACTGTTTATGAAACCACACGCTTGTTAAACTGCAATAAATAAACAGAAGTTTATGTTCCAATTTCACCCTGACTGGACTCAGTATTGTACCAGGTAGGGCCTGGGTGGTGGCAGCGAGAAATAAAGTGGTGGCACAGGGATCAATAGACGGTGAAACATCCGGGGACCCTGTGTGATCGCCACAACCGCTGAAATTGGCATGCCTCCTTCAGCCTAAGGGTGGGAGCAGCTTATAAAGAAACTTATTTTAACGTGGAGGGAGCTTTAGCGGAAAGATGAGAGGAAGCTGGGGGGAGGGGGAGAGTTCATGTTCAGTCCTTAATCTCTCAGGCAACTAAGCAAGCTGCTACATTTTCTTCCCCAGAGGTTTTAGAATAGCAAGTCGCTTCCAAAAGAGAGGGGCTGTGTTGTGCAAGATGCTCAGGGCCACAGATCTTTTATTGCAGATCTGCTCTAACTTAGTCGTTATGAGAGCTTAGTCGTTTGAGACCTAATTGCCTCTGATGGGCAGTGAAACCTCCCCCCCCCTTTTTTGTTTTGTTTTATATACCTGTAGAGAATCCTATTTTTATTGCAACTGTAAAGCTGGGTTTTATTTTCCACCCTAAAAAAAATAATACAAGACATCTCGGGCTGAGATGCTTCGGTTTTAAGATTACTGCGTGCTTCTCTCCAAGTAATAAAGAAGGGTGAGTAATGGAAAGTGACAGGTTCCCAAATACAAAGGGAGTGAGCAACAGGCGTACGGTAATACAGGGATCTAGTCAACTGTATGTGCCATTCTTTTTATGTTTTAATCGCACAAAGAAATCCAGTCCTGTATCTAGAGAGGTGTCAGATCCATTGCCGCCAGCAGATGATAAATAAGTATCTGAGCATCCATTTCTGATTAGAGAGGAGCAGCACAGGAAGTTTAGCGAGTTTAGGCAATCGGTCCATCTAAATCAGTATTGTCTACACTGCCTGGCAGGGATAGAGCATCTGCTTTGCATGCAGAAGATCCCAGGAATGTCCAGGGTGAGGAATTAACTCTTTATTGTCAAAAGCCAGGTCCCATCACCTCCTGGCAAATAGAAGGGGAAGAAATGGAGGCAGTGAGAGATTTTACTTTCTTGGGCTCCATGATCACTGCAGATGGTGACAGCAGCCACGAAATTAAAAGATGCCTGCTTCTTGGGAGAAAAGCAATGACAAACCTAGACAGCATCTTAAAAGTAGAGACATCGCCTTGCCAACAAAGGTCCGTATAGTTAAAGCTATGGTTTTCCCAGTAGTGATGTATGGAAGTGAGAGCTGGACCATAAAGAAGGCTGATCGCCAAAGAATTGATGCTTTTGAATTATGGTGCTGGAGGAGACTCTTGAGAGTCCCATGGACTGCAAGAAGATCAAACCTATCAATTCTTAAGGAAATCAGCCCTGAGTGCTCACTAGAAGGACAGATCCTGAAGCTAAGGCTCCAATACTTTGGCCACCTCATGAGAAGAGAAGACTTTCTGGAAAAGACCCTGATGCTGGGAAAGATGGAGGGCACAAGGAGAAGGGGACGACAGAGGACGAGATGGTTGGATAGTGTTCTCGAAGCTACCAGCATGAGTTTGACCAAACTGCAGGAGGCAGTGGAAGACAGGAGTGCCTGGCGTGCTCTGGTCCATGGGGTCACGAAGAGTCGGACACGACTAAACGACTAAACATTGTCAAAAGCGCACTTACAAGTGATCGCCAAAGGAGAAGAAGAAGAGGAGGGGGCGCAGCAGGAGGAGGAGGAGGTGTGGAAGCCCTTGATTCCACACCAGCCTAACCTCCCCCTCCTCCTGCACCTGCTCTCCAGGCCTGCAGCTTCTCCTGCCTCTGACTTCTCCCATGTCAGTCTCAAACCCTGTTTCTCCCAGTGCCCACTCCTTCCCAGGCACCACTCCTCAGCGTCCAGCCATTCCCTGACAGCAGGGATAGGAGAGACCCTGGTCTGAAATTCTGCAGAGTTGCTGCCAATCAGTTTAGACACTACTGACCTAGGTTGACCACTGTATAAGGCAGTTTCCTATGAATCGTAGGGTGAAGAGGAGGACGGCCCCTTTGTGGAGCTACAGCGCACATTGGTGAGGAGCCATGGCAGTTAAACAGCTCTGAAACTAGTCGGCGCATATATTATTTTCATCATGATTGTTTATTTCGTTTATGAATCGCTTCCCGTGAAGCACCTCAAAGCGATTTCACGGTGCAATAAAATCCTATAGAAAGCCATTTCTTATATAAAAAAACCATTGCCTGTGTAAAAAAAAAAAAATGCAGTTAAAGCCATTGCATATATGAAAACAGCTTCAAATCCAATGCAGGTAGAGAGTGAGATTTTAAAAATCTCCACTTAAGAGGCTTGTTGGAAAAAGAAGGACTTCAGGGGGCCTCTCTGATGTGTAAACGGGAAGGAGGGCTTAAGAATAGGTGCTGTCACGCTATAGACCCAATTCTTACATCATAAAGGAAGGATGAGGCGGTATCTGCAGGAGGTCCTCTCCTGCAGAGCACAGCTGTTGGTTGGGAATATAATAAATGAGACATTTCTTTTGGTATTTTTGTCCCAAGCTGTAGCAGCACCATTAGCCTAGCTTGGTATCTAAATGACACATGTGGACATGTTCTAAGCAGAAGTTTGGAGGATGATATGGAGCAACATGCACACATTTCTTTCCAGCAAGCATCCTGTCCTTGGAAGATGGGTGTGATCAGGAAACCTTGTGGCAAATTATGCAAGCCTCTTGTTCTGTTCAGACTCCTTCCCAGTTGCGAAGTGGCAATTCCAGTGCACCTATGAAACTCCTTCCTCCACCCTCACGGGCAGCTCGACTTCGAGATTGAAGTTTAAAATTTCACACCAAGCAGACGACTGCTAGATTATATTAAGTTAATAAAGAGAGCTGTAACACACTGCAGTGTCTTGCCACCCTGCCCCAATGGCAATTTCGTTAGATTTAAATAGGTGCGGCAGGGCTTTTAAGAACGGCAGGGGGCATGTGATTTTCCTCGGGTTCCTACGCTATTGGCAGGCAAAGCATTATGTTTCAAATGCCTTGGGAACGAGACATTCGCCATAGGCTGCAGCGGGTAATTAAGAATCCTCTACAGTAACCCAAACCTCTGCAGTAAATGTGTGCTCTGTGCTCTAGGTTTCGGATAATGCATATGATAAGGTGGTAGGAGTTTGCACACAATTATCTGGGGTGGGGAGGAGGCTTCCCTCTCAACTTGCTTGCCTCCATTTCTGTTAGCAAGGGAAGGGGAGCACACCAGAGTGCTTGAATTTTGGCCTACGCTAATCAGTGTTTCCCTGAAAATTAATTATACCGTAGAAGAAACCCCTTTGTGAACAAAGATGCCAAAGCAGCATTACTAGTGTTTTATGAACAAAGAATCCTAATGCTATCCTTCTGTAAACACTGATTAGCACGTCTAGCTCGTGCAAGAAGATATTAATATTTGCATGCAGGGTTGGTTGTCGTCGCTGGCGTCTTGTTACGTTTTAAACAGCGGCATGAACTCTTCTCTAATTTGTACCGTCAGGCTTTTCTCATTTGTGGCCCAGTGCGTGTGGCTTCGCCCTTGAGCCCCTAAAATATGACTCAGCCACAAACGTCCTCGCCCACCCTTGTGCCCATGACATAAAAGTAGCGCTTGATGGTGGCTTGCAAAATTGCAGAGCTAGCGATTTTAAACAGCAGCTGAGTGAGAGTAGCAAACTTTAATGAATAGTAAGTGAGCCAGTGTGTGGAAGGAAAGCACAAAGAAGTCCCTTGGGATTTTGCTCAAAGGCAAATGAAAGGAGAGTATCCTAAGGACCTGGAGCTATGTTGAGCAATTAAGCAACTGTCCTCTTAGCAATGGCAAATTTTGAAGCTGGCATTTCCTTGGCAGCTGGGCTTATCTGCTGTTCTGCAAAAGCATTTGGTGACCGCTAGCCACGATGGTTATGTTTTACCTCCCCTGTTGAAGGCAGTACACGTGACTCCTCGTTTGGGCTCTGGGGAGGGTCTCCTCGCTCGCCAGAGGTGCCACAGAGCTTTGTTGAGGCTCTTCAGGTCTCTCCCCCCACCCCGCCAATTTCCTGTGCATATGCACAGTTTTGTTCGGTTTTTTACTTTTTTCATTGTATAGCCACTTCTTCTTCTTCTTCTTCTTCTTCTTCTTTGGCGATCACTCGTAGCTGAGTAAGATTGTCTTCCATAAAAACGGTTTTAACAATGAGTCCGTAAGTGGCTGTGGAGGCCAATTCTGGATCCACACGTCCTTCCACAGTGGGGACATTGGTTTGCAGATGGGAGTTGATCATGGTGTGGATTTGCCAAGCGTGCCTTCCTCTTAGCACGTTTCTCCCTTGAGTCCTGAGTTCGAGCGTCTTCAAAGCCCATGACACCTTTGGTAAAGGCTGTTCTCCAACTGGCGCGCTCGCAGGCCAGTGTTTCCCAGTTGTCAGTGTTTATGCTACATTTTTTTAGATTTGCCTTGAGACAGTCTTTAAACCTCTTTTGTTGACCACCAGCATTACGCTTTCCATTTTTAAGTTTGGAATGGAGTAGTTGCCTTGGAAGACGATCATCAGGCATCCGCACAACATGACCAATCCAACGAAGTTGATGTTGAAGAATCATTGCTTCAACACTTGTGATCTTTGCTTCTTCCAGTACACTGGCATTAGTTCTCCTGTCTTCCCAAGTGATGTGTAGTGACCGCCATACCCCCCAACACGAGGAGGAAGAGAAGGAGTATTTTAGGGATCCTTGTCCGCATTCATGTCACCATCATCTGATTCTGTCCCAATCAGAATGATATTTGTAGAGACCACCACAATTTCATCTCAGTGTTGTAATTTAACACTAAGACACTGTTAGGACTAAAAAACAAAAACTTTCAAACATCATAGCCAACCAGGCCACATTTGCCTATGATTTCACTGATGTAAAACCACATTAGCACTTCAGTAGCCACCAAGCCATTCCTTAGAGCTTCCTTGACAGCGAGCTGTTTGACTGCATGCTCTTCAGCAATCCATGCCATCAGTAGCCTTAGGAGTTTCAGCAGGAGTTGAGGGAGCCAGTACCAAAAAGTGGCCAGGCCAGGCTTTGAATAAGTGATAGCAGCAGAGACAAGCTTGGGCCCTTGGGTGATGATGGCCGTCACCAGCTTCTGCGCAGCCTGCACCATCCCGAGAGCAAGTCCTGCGCATGTGCGCAGTTGCGGGTGAATTGAAGACATGTAATTGGGTGGATGCCTGTATGTCCCTGAACGCCACTCGCTCGGAATCATAAATGGAGAGAATGCTGTTGCACTCGGGTCTTGTTTTAGGGCTTTGCATAGGTCACTGTGAGAACAGGATACTGGACTAGATAGGCCTTTGGCCTAATCCAGCAGGGCTCTTTTTATATTCGTATGCTGTAGTTGCTGCTACTATTACATTTATAGCCCACTTTCGCCTCCAGGTCCCAGGGCAGGTCACAACACTTCAAACGAATTACAGTCATGGGAATAGGATGGGTCCGGAAAACCCCTATCTGAGGAGCTAAGCGTTCACTCCCTTGGCCATGTTTTGAGATTTTGGGTCTTCTCTCTAATGAAACTTCCATTTGTGCAGAGGGTCTGGTGTGTGTGTCTGTGTGTCTGTGTGTCTGTGTTCTTTGATTTTGCCAAATCTTGAAGGCTTACTGCTGGTGGGAACATCTGAAGGGCAGAACAGCATGTTACGGGAGAAATGGGAATAATGCTAAAAATGAATTCAAGCAGAACCCGCAAATGGAGATTTTCCCTCTGCAGGCTGTCTGCATGGAGGTGGGAGGTGGGAATCAATTTTGGGGTATGCTTTGATTCCAAACTGTGCCTGCAGATGGACAACTACAAAGGGGTGCACTGTCAGCTCCAAACAGCTGTGTGTGTGTGTGTGAGAGAGAGAGAGAGAGAGAGAGAGAGAGTGAGAGTGAGTGAGAATGGTGTGGTGCTTTTGCTAGAGCTAAATACGTGAGCCACAGCTAAATCAAGAATTTGGGCTGAGCCTGAAGTGCAGAAGGTGCTGATTTGTTGGCTGAATGCTCAGTAGTTGTACCAGGCATGCCCAATCCAAAGGAAGCATTCTGCTGACCGATCACAGGCGCTGACCGATCACAGGTGCTGATGTTGCCACCCTGTTTGGTTCCTCTGTGGCTCCTAAAAGACCTAAACATTCCTGGCTTAAACTCCAGAGACTCTGATTAGTTGATAATAAAACCTTCTGTTCAGATCCCTCCATTTCTCTTTTCCATTGTTTGAAATGGGAGACTGAACATGCCAAAGTTTATTGAAGGTGATAACACGAAGCGGCACTTAACCTGCTTATTAGTGTCAGCGAAAGCTATAACCTGCATTTTCATAATCACTCCTGCCTGCTTCCCCTAATTAAATATAGATTTCTCCCCATGTTCTCCAGAAGGTGGAATAAAATAGTTTGAGCAGTAACCTTAAAGTAACCTTTTGCCGTCCAGAGATGACCCTTTTATAAACCTTGTTTCTCCCTTCACGTTTCTGCAGTGCTGGTAAATTAAACCGTTTGCCAGTGTTTCTCAACTTGGGTCTCCAGCTGTTTTTTGTCATAACAGGACAGCCATGCCAGAGCCGCTACCATAGAATCGTAGACTTGGAAGGAGCCACAAGGGTCATTTATTCCAACCTCCTGCAATGCAGGAATCTCTCACCCAACATGGGGCTCAGACCCATAACCCTGGGATTAAGAGTCTCATGCTTTACTGACTGAGCTATCCATCCTTCTGCCTCTGATCTTCACACCGTGAGACATTAAAGAACCCTTAGGCTATATTTGCTGAGTTTAAAGCATGGTGCCTGTTAAGAGAAAGAAGAAGAGAGTCGCCAACCAACACCATTTACTGTTGACTCTGGGAGCCCTTCTGTCAGGATCTGTGAACCACAGTGCCAAATAGCATATGGCCTGCATCACCTTCCTGGTGTGTGGCTCTCCTGTCAAAGGAGGAGGATGATAATAATAATAATAATAATTAAAAAAAAGAATAATAATTATATGCCGCCCATCTGGCTGGGCTTCCCCAGCCACTCTGGGCGGCTTCCAACAAAATATTAAAATACCATAATGCATCAAACATTAAAAGCTTCCCTAAACAGGGCTGCCTTCAGATGTCTTCTAAAAGTCTGGTGGTAGTTGTTCTCTTTGACATCAGGTGGGAGGGCGTTCCACAGGGTGGGCGCCACTACTGAGAAAGCCCTCTGCCTGGTTTCCTGTAACTTGGCTTCTTCAGTGAGGGAACTGCCAGAAGGCCCTCGGCGCTGGACCTCAGTGTCCGGGTAGAACGATGGGGGTGGAGACGCTCCTTCAGATATACTGGACCAAGGCCGCTTAGGGCTTTAACGGTCAGCACCAGCACTTTGAATTGTGCTCGGAAACGTACTGGGAGCCAATGTAGGTCTTTCAAGATCGGTGTTATGTGATCTTGGCAGCTGCTCCCAGTCACCAGTCTAGCTGCTGCATTCTGGATTAGTTGTAGTTTCCGGGTCACCTTTAAAGGTAGCCCCACATACAGCGCATTGCAGTAGTCCAAGCGGGAGAAAACTAGAGCATGCACCACTCTGGCGAGGCAGTCTGCGGGCAGATAGGGTCTCAGCCTGCGTACCAGATGGAGCTAGTAAACAGCTGCCCTGGACACAGAATTGACCTGTGCCTCCATGGACAGCTGTGAGTCCAAAATGACTCCCAGGCTTTTTTTGGTCAGCAGGCTGAGCAGTTGTGGCATGATTAAATGTGTATTAATATTTTGTGTGTGTGTGTGTTTCTTCTCCTCGCCCACCCCCCTTTTCACAGCTCGACTAAGGTTGTTACACCACACAGCACCATACTTAGAATTCATTGACTTGTAGAGTTGGAAGGGATCTCAAGGGTCCTCTAGTCCAACTCCCTGCAATGCAGGAATCTGTGGCCCAACATGGGTCTCGAACCCACAACCCTGAGATTAAGAATCTCGTGATAACAGCTGAGCTAGGTACCAAATGAAACCCATATAGAAAGCAGACAGTTTGATTTTCCTTCAGCTGACAGACCATAGCAATGCGCATGTTATCCTCACCCCCTTTTTAAAAAAAAGAAAAACCATAGCTTATACTTACATAGGCAGCTGTCATAAGAACATAAGCCAGCTTCCTGTTCTCACAGTGCCCGTGGGAAGCTCACGCAGGACCCGAGTGCGAGAGCACACTCCTCACTTTTCACAACCAGCAACTGGCATTCAGATGCAGACTGCCTCCCACAGCTGATATTTTCCTGTACACCCACTTTGTATTCTTCATATGACAATATATGTGAATGAGAATATATATCTGTACAAGTTGCAAAATCGATATTGCTTTGCAGTGGGGCATTTTAGCTGCTTTTGTCTACTCCAGAATGAGAGGGGGGGGAGGAAATTCTGCCGGAGCTCAGTAGGTTAAAAAAAAATTGCATTGTTTGATGTCAGGACAGTTGATGTAGTAACAGTCCATGGCTGCCTGTGCACATTATCAAGCTTGAAAGGCCTTTACAGAGTTTTAAGAGAGATGTGATGGGTCTGATTGTGATGGGTGACTGGGCACATTTCCCTTCAGAGCTGCACAGAAACAGCTGACAGGAGTAATTTTGTGTGTATGTGGTTTTTCCCCTCCAGTAGCCTGACTCACTTCCATGTGCTGCTGTTGCCACCTTCTGGAAAAAAGGAGGAAGCCTCGTTTTCCTGGATTTGGAAGTAAGGAAACCCTACTTAAGAGGAAATCTGGCCAGTGGTTAAGAGATCAAGAGCGAGCCTTGGAATCTGATCCTCACAGCTGACATAAATTCTTCCTCATCTGCCATAACTGTGGCTAACAGCAGGCAGCTGGACCTCTTAACTAGGGTTTCCTAACCTTCAAACTGGTTGACATGAAAAACTTGCTTAGCGTTAACCGTGATTGACAGTGTCGCTTCCAAAATCTGTATTAGGGCAAATCCTTTTATTAGCGTAACCAGAATGTTGCAGAATAACGTGCAAGGTTTTGAGTTCTACAGAGTTCTTCTTTTGGCTAGATGGTAAGCAAAGCAAGGGGGAAGTGGCCGATGTTGAAATTGTGGAGTTTGCATCCCAAGGGCTGTGATTGACTAAATGCAATGTTGGAAAGAGATAGACGGTGTTCGTATGAGGTTCTGTTAGGTGCTATGCAGGCTTCTGGATGGACCTGCAGAAGCTGAGCAGGAGGAACAAACAGATGTTGTTTCCAAGGATCAGTCAAAGGTTGATTCCCCCACCCCTATATTTGAAAATATAAAAATCTAGCTGTTCGCCAGGTCTGCTTCAATTCTTAGGTTGTACACATAGGTTTTTTGGTAGGATGAGAAGAGGAGTAAAGAGAAACCAGGCTGCTTGTGTTATTGTAGAAACTAGGTAGTTTTTATCTTGTTGCAGTTGCTATTGTGGAGTTATTGATGTAACCCTTGACTGTGCCTTGAGTTGGGGGGGCGGGTTTCATGCTGGAGAGCCTGTGATCCTCTGTCCTGCCCCCAGTCTCCTTTTGCTGTTCCCAATCTCTTAGCCAGCTTTAGGAAATCGAGAGCAGTACTCTTTTGCAGCGACCCAGGTTTGCAGAGAGCGGGTTTTCAAAAAGCTCCTTTTTCTTGCCTTGGGGGTTGTTTTCCTCCCATAAATCAGCCTGTGAACTTCAGATATCCACCAGTAAACACTTAAGAAATAAAGGATAAAAGCTTTCATAGTAATAAAACCCAGACTTCCCATGGATCTGGGTTTGTCCAGATAGCTTATCGGGAGAGCCAAATGCAGACTCTCAAGTAGCAGAGTACTTGTTGATTCAGCTGTGCTCCTGTTGAAACAGCACCGGTGATGCATGGATCCCATTGGCAAAGTTCAGCAGATAATATCTGCTGAAATCCTCCCTCGGGTTGATCTTTTCCTTTACTTTTTCCTCCCTCCAGCAGCTACAAAAAATGCACATGCAGCCTGCTTCATATCAGTGCATACATTTAGGCATGGTGCCCTGTTACGGCATCTCTAGGCAGTGCAGAATCCTAGAAACACATCGTCATCAAGAACGCTTCCGATGTGCCGTGTTTTGAGGGGGAGGTGTTAACTTTATGGATACGGTTGCTGGGTGCTGGATGAAGCTCGGGGTTTGGTTAGTTTAATTCAGCTAGGAAATGTGTCTATTTAATCTGAATGATTCAGCAAGTGCTCCTTCCAGTTCCATTGCACAAAGGCTGGTATTGGAAATTGTGCATTGCTGGTGAGTATTCATTTCTGAAGCAGAGAAGGTCCTAGCATCCAGATCTGCAGGAAGCAAAGCATGTCTTACACTTGAAAATAGATGGGTAGTGTTATAGCTATCGGGTGGAGCAATCAGGCAAGATGCCTCACTGGTCTGTTCTAAAGCTTTATTATTGGTGCTAAAAACTTTTCCAATGCAGAGCACCTCTATTCCATGTCTTGCTCACTCGCTAGCAGAATCTGAGAGTGGGCGGTCCTTAAATCTTCCCCAGCAGAGTAGTCTCTTGACCCCCAGCCTACGCCTCCCCTCTCTGCATGAAATCCTACTGCGCAAGGAAGGCTTGGGTAAAGGGGGACCTCCCTCCTCCCGCTTTGCTCAGGCAAGGTGTCCTGGCACCGCCTTGCATCCTCCGAGCCCTGCATCTCCTCCCCACTAGAGGCATGGCTTCCTTCCTCCGCTGAGGAAGTGCTGCTTCCCACGATTTTTGGGGGCTCTCTGTAATCCATCCGCTTCCCCCCCCCCTCACCCCTGAGCCGATGGCAGTTCCCTGACAAGTAGTAACAGTGAGGTTCTTCATTTCCTTCAGTTGGTGAGAGGGTAGTGACCATTTTGGTTCATGAAAGATACTAGCAGCCTCATATCTACCATTGCTTGGGAAACACAAAAATCAGCGCAGTTCTGAAATTGGTGGTTAAAATCGGCGCAGTTTTGAAAGATTTGGCCTGCCATCTTGGTTTACAGTGGGGCCCACTTGTATCTAAATATAGAGGGGAAACTTGCTGCTTTATCTCAGGAACCAAAATTCTCAAGAAGTGTCCAAATACTTAGCCAACAAGCAGCCAACTTTCCAAAATATATAGCAGATGTGCTGTGCTGCCGATTTCTCTTCGTTATTTTTATGCTCATACATGAATGAATCTTGGGGAAGGGGGAAAATGAGTGGGTGGTATTCAGCTAGGTTTGACAAAGGTTGGCCCATTGACATTAATAAACATTAATAACAGGTCCATTAATTTCAGCAGATCTACTCTGAGTAAGACTTCGCTGAATGCCACCCAGTATATAATGATTATATGGGGAAGCAAAAAATGCAGCTAAAGTATTAACACTACTCAGAAAACCAATACGCAACTTAATTTTTACAAACAATAATTACGGCGTGCAAAGCTTTTAACTATTATGCAAGTCTGCTTTTATAGTCCAACCTAGTTAAAGGCTTTGCTGTGTTCCAACTATATTATAACTTATCCTAAATATTAAGGAAAGAGAAAACAAACAACATGATCGCTACTTGCCCAAGCAAAGATTCAAAGGAACCCGTTTCTGTGAGTTAGGAGAAGAGCTAAGAGATGAATGCAAGATGCTACAAGTAATCCAGGTGGAATCCTGTGCTCAATCCTTATTAAGGGGGAAAGGTTGGAAAACTGAAATTGTGAGTGTAAACCTCACCTGGCAACAAGCAAAAGCCAGAAGCCAAAATCTCTTCCAAGTTGTTTACAGGTCAAAGCCCCAAAGGACTGGTTTGTAGGAGAATGGCTACAAACAGCTTCAGAACTTGAAGGGACAGGTTCAAAGTAAGACATCGTTTCATCTAGCAAAAAGGCCTCAGAACAAGCCAACCTTGATCAGAAAAGCTTGGAGCTAAGCAAAACGACAGACATGCGCTCTGGGATCAGTGATAAAGGGTGGCATATAAAATCTAAATAAATACATTGTCTTTGTTGTTCTGGAAACCTGGTGGCAGTTCTCTAACTCCCATCAGTTGCATTTTAGCACACAAGTCTTTGCCGCTGCCGATTCAAGCAGAATCTGTCCTGCCAACTGAAAAATAAATAAATTGAGATCTCCTCCCTCAAATGACACAGAACGTTAACCTGTCGCTGGGAGAGCACTCTAGGAACATGTCAACTTAGAAAGCAAAATAGAGCAGGGTTTGATGTCTCGCCGCATTATTGTTTTTATCCTGTGCAGTGATATTTCTTTAGCACACTGATTAGAAATGAAGTGTGAAGCTTGAGTGAAGTACTGCAGGGAAGAGAACTTCAAATATCTCGCATCCGGTTTCTTTACCAAGCAGACGCCTTAGCAAAGAGAAGTTATGGCTAACCATTGAACCGGCCTCACAGAAATCAAACGAAAGGCACCCACCAGCCTGCTCTCCTGCCCGTACATCCATGCAGGGTCCTGGATGACTTTAAAAAAGAATAGGAAGAATTCTGTGTTGCATTTAGTCTCAGTTCTGCAGGTGGAATCCTGCAGCCCTTATAAGCTGTGCAGCCGAACAGATCTGATTGTTTTCCCTTGCTTTTGTTTCATTCTGAACTGATATGTTGGCGACCATGAAAAGAGGTGTGTTGAAGCAGAGATACGTTAAAGGGGGTGTGTGGATGTGCATAGAAACTCTATGGATGGTAAAAGAGCCAGACATGTCCGTTCATATAATTTATTCTTATGCCTCCATTCCACAAGATGGTATCCGAAGGGGTTTACAGCATCAAGTGGACAACTGTTCCCAGGTAACACTGTAAGCAGGTAGCACTATGCAAATAAAAGTTTTAAACCAGGGATAGGGAACTTGTGGCCTTTCTGGTGTCATTGGACTTCAAGTCCCATCATCCCTTGGCTGGGGCGGATGGGGACTGGAGGGCCCCAGATTCCTGCATCCCTGGTTTAAACTAACCTAATCATTTAATCTTAAAAAGCAGAGACATCACCTTGCCAACAGAGGTCCGTATAGTTAACGCTATGGTTTTCCCAGTAGTGATGTATGGAAGTGAGAGCTGGACCATAAAGAAGGCTGATCGCCAAAGAATTGATGCTTTTGAATTATGGTGCTGGAAGAGGCTCTTGAGAGTCCCATGGACTGCAAAAAGATCTAACCTACCCATTCTGAAGGAAATCAGCCCTGAGTGCTCACTGGAAGGACAGATCCTGAAGCTGAGGCTCCAATACTTTGGCCGCCTCATGAGAAGAGAAGACTAAACAACAATCATTTAACACCAATAAGGAGAGAGAAACAAGGCCTAACATGGAAATAAAATGCAATGCACACAAGGCCAAATAGATCTCCATACCATTCTGGGAAGGCAGCATAGGAGTCTCCCATCTGCCTGTCCTCCCCCTCCCCAGACCCCCTCAGAAAATGACAGTGCTCCCAACAACCCACCCATATCAAGAGAACTGTCAAAATGATGAATCTTGATTTGCAAAGAGGCAGCATCCATCAGAACAGTCTTACCACAAATGTCCTCTTTTTATTTTAACTTATCAACAATCTTAAACTTTGCCTGCATTTTCTCTTTCTCTCTCTTTTTCAGTTGAAAAATGTATTTAATATGACAGCCAAGGAAGGAAGGAGAAAATCTGTCAGTGCCCTGGTGGTGGTTGGAAATGGAAATGGAATTGCTGGTAAGTGAGCACTTCATTCTCAGGGGGCAGCTTTTGTTCATTTCATAACCGTAGCAACCCACTATTTTTCTATAACTTCTTTTCAGTTGTGTTTCTGTTTCTTTGGTGTGTGCGTCTCCATCCAGGGTTTGTGCTCTGTGTTGGCCGCAGCCCTTGAATTTGTGCTTTTGTCTATCATCTTCCGTATCTCATGCCCAAGTTATTTTCGATCTTCATCACCCAAGGGGTGGAAGGGAGAGAATTTCTGCAAGGGTGGAAGGAGATAGAACACAGTATTGCCTGAAGCGTGGAAAGGCCAAGGAACTGGTCAGGAGAGGAGGGTTTTGCCCCCGAGTGGAAGGCTGTTTCCTGTCCTCTGACTCGAAAGGACACTCCGGCCTTTGCAATGCACAAAGTTTGGCTGGCCCTGTTTAAAAAGGCTGCTGGTAAGGGGGCTTTTTCCTGACTGTCAGCAATTTTCTTTGGAACATTGTTAAATACGAACTTAGCAAGGAAATAACACTTCTCTTGCAGCAGCTTCTAAAATACACCATCAGACACCAATTTATTTTTCCTCGGAGAGTAAGAATCCAATGCTGTTGCCAAGATTACAGGCCAGCAGCAAAGCCACCCTCGTTGGCTGTGTTCTTGGGATGTAGATTAATACAGGGTCCTTTGCTTTTAATTTGCAGAGGTTGGATGGCCATGTGTCATGGATGCTTTAGTTGGGATTCCTTCGTCGCAGGAGGTCCCTTCCAACACCACGATTCTATAATTACGCTCTGTGGTTCCCGGTGGCACTCTGTTCCATGAAAGCCAAGACTTGTGCCGTTTAATTGCACGGAAAGTAGATTGATCAAGGAGCCAAGGGCACATTTAGTAAGGTTTTTTCCTCCCTTTTGCTGAAAGCTGGCAAGCCGTTCCACAGACGGAAGGGAGAGGTGAAGACTTTCGTAACTGCCATCTGATTCCTTGAGCACATTTCTGGACAGTTTTAGTGTCCTTTGGGGGGGGAAGCCAAGCTGAAAATGCAAAAGCACTTCAGGACCACCACTTGCCTCGGTGGGGCAAAGTGCGTAGCTATGAGGAGGCCTCCTTGTTCACAGGTGCTTTGCAGATTTCCACATGCGGCATTTGTCTACTAACCAATCTACCAATTTGTTTGCACCCCTCAGGTTTTGCATTGGGAAAAGCAACGGACAGGATGATTGCATTGAGGAAAGTATGTCCTTTTAAAAGTAATAATAATAATGATGATGAAGATGTGGGGATGCGGGTGGTGCTGTGTGTTAAACCACAGAGCCTAGGACTTGCCGATCAGAAGGTCAGCGGTTCAAATCCCCGCGACGGGGTGAGCTCCCATTTTGCTCGGTCCCTGCTCCTGCCAACCTAGCAGTTCAAAAGCACGTCAAAGTGCAAGTAGATCAATAGGTACCACTCCGGCAGGAAGGTAAACGGCGTTTCCATGCACTGTTCTGGTTCGCCAGAAGTGGCTTAGTCATGCTGGCCACATGACCCGGAAGGTGTACGCCGGCTCCCTCGACCAATGAAGCAAGATGAGCATCGCAACCCCAGAGTCGGTCACGACTGGACCTAATGGTCAGGGGTCCTTTACCTTTAATAATAATAATAATAATAATAAATAATTTATTATTTATACCCTGCCCATCTGGCTGGGTTTCCCCAGCCACTCTGGGCGGCTTCCAACAGAATATTAAAATACAATAGTCTATTAAACATTAAAAGCTTCCCTAAACAGGGCTGCCTTCAGATGTCTTCCTTCAAATCTGGTCTTCCTTTACTTGGTATTTATGCATAAAATGCACACAGTGCCGTGGTTCTGTCCTGGCATGAGAACATACTGGGGGGACGGAATGTAGCTCAGTGATGGGAGCGCCTGCAATGCTTGCAGGTTTCAATCCCTATCATTTTTAGGTAGGACTGAGAAAGGTTCCCTGCCTGAGGCCCCCTGTCAGTCAGCGTAGATGGTGCTGTAGCTAGATAGACTAATGATCTGACTCGGTAGAAGGCAGATTCCTATGTTCCATGTGAAGAACACTGGAAACTTAGGCCAGCATCAAACCAGCTGGGGATCTGTTGCTCTCTTTTGCCAAAGGAGGGCATAGCTGTGTTGTAGATTGCCTCCCTCCTCCAGTTCCTGCCCTCCCTCCATGTATACAAAAAAAAAAATTGAGCTTGAGGATCTGCTATCCTTCGGGAGCAGCTTTTCAGGGGCGTGCTGGCAGCCATTGAGGAGAGGAAAAGAAGCGGAATCCCTGTTGGAACTGCAGGATTTTTCCTTTTAGACCCCCAAATAGCTGACATTGCCAGTGTGGGCAGGTAGGCTGGCAAGTTTGTTTAGGCATAGTCTGTGGTACTTTATAAAAGCATTTTGATCCCTTTTAATTTATCAAACTAATTACATTTCAGGTCGGTACGTAATTGGCAGAAATAGCTCTTATTTTTATCTTAAATTCGATCTCGCCGTAAAATGGAAACAGTCATCTGACATAATCATTTCTTAATGAAAAGTGTCTTCTTGGATTTCCCCCCCCAGGCGAAGAACAGAGCTATCCACTATTTGCACTATATCGAAAGATACGAAGATCACACAAGTAAGTTGCAAGATTTTAGACTCTACCTAAGGTTTTAAAAGCCAGCTAGTTGCATTACTTCTTCTTGTAGAATTGTAGAGTTGGACGGGACCCCACGGGTCATCTAGACCAACCCCCTGCAATGCAGGAATCGCAGCTAAAGCATCCCTAACAGGCAGCTATCAAAGCTCTGATTAAAAACCTCCGATGAAAAAGAGTCCATCACCCTCCAAGGGAGTCCGTTGCACTGTCAAAAAGCTCTTACCACCAGAAAGTTTCCCCCCATGTTTGGTTGGAATCTCCTTTCTTGTAACTTGAATCCATTGTCTCATGTCCTACTGTTCAGAGCAGAAGATATTTGAAGCCCTTTTGATATTTGAAGATGGCTATCATATCTCCTCTTTTCCCGGCTAAACATACCCACCTCCCTCAACCATTCCTCATAAGGCTTGGTCTCCAGACCCTTGACCATCTTGATTGCCCTCCTCTGCCTACATTCCAATTTGTCAATATCCCCCTTATTAAATCGTGGTGCCCAGAACTGGACACAGTATTCCAGGTGTGGTCTGACCAAGGCAGAATAGAATGGGACTGACTTCCCTTGATCCGGACACTAGACTTCTGTTGACGCAGCCTACGTAGCTTGCCATTCCTTTAGTCTGCTTGTCTCTAAAGCTCAAGTCCAAAAGTTTGAATGAACATGCAAATCACAGAATTGTAGAGTTGGAAGAGGCACCCCAAGGGTCATCAAATCCAACCCCCTGCCTTGTGGGAATACTGGTCCAGTTCAGATGCCGCTGTCTCATGTACCATACTCTGAACATTTGGCACTTGAAAGTGAATTGCAGTACTACTTCCAGTATCAGTGGTAGTTTACCTCTGAATGCCAGTTGCTGGGGAGTGGGCTGTTGCCCTTAGATCCTCTGTCCATGCTGAGCTAGATGAGCCTTTGGTCCAACCCAGCAGCACTCTCCTTACTGTAACATTTACCTTTTCTTCTAGTTTATCACGATATCGCAAGCACTGTTAAGAAAACAACCATCCGGATGAAGAAGCAGAACAAGGGTAAGTAAAAGCTGCAACTGATGGTGATGATAATTTATTATTTGTACCCTGTGCATCTGGCTGGGTTTCCCCAGCCACTCTGGGCAGCTTCCAACAAAGATTAAAAATTCATTAAAATGTCACACATTAAAAACTTCCCTGAACAGGGCTGCCTTCAGATGTCTTCTAAATGTTAGGTAGTTGTTTATCTCTTTGACATCTGGTGGGAGGACGTTCCACAGGGCGGGCGCCACTACCGAGAAGGCCCTCTGCCTGGTTCCCTGTAGCTTTGCTTCTCGCAATGAGGGAACCGCCAGAAGGCCCTCGGTGCTGGACCTCAGCGTCCAGGCAGAAGGATGGGGGTGGAGTCGCTCCTTCAGGTAGATGCGGAATTTAGAAGTGTTCTCATCCAAATCAGTGTGGTCAGTCTTCTTTTCTTAACATAACATTTCCTGTAAAGTGAAACAGTCGCTCTGTCCAGATTGAAGCCCAGCACTCTGTTTTTCAGCATTTCTAATCCCCCCCCCCCATAAGCTCAGTGGGCAGGCAGCAGTGCTGAATGTGCAGAACTTAGGTCAGGAGTGCTGTCGCAAGCTGACAAATGGAAGCATTAAGAATTCCCATATGTGGAAGGTCGGGGTGGCAGTGGAAGTTTTATTGCTCATCCTTGCCGATGCCTCGGGCATCATTCTGTTGACTGTGAACTCCTTCACCTGTGCAATGAAACGATTTTTCTCTTGCTGTCTCTTGAACGTTAATTCTGCTCGTGGAAGAAGGAAAGAGGGGAAGGCGCCAAATGCAAGAATATGGAGAACAAACCAGTAAAGCAGGGTTTATTGATCCAATACATTTTTCACCTTTTGGGGTCTTTCTTCTGGCACAACTGATTTAGGTATTTCAGAAATGACCGAAAAATATATCTCACGCCTTCCCAAAATGTGAAGAGTCATACGAACAGAAAGTCACACAAACCACACCAGTGTAGCTCTGATTGTAAAGCAAGTGCCCCCCCTCCTCTTAACCTCACGAAAAAATACTCCAGAGCAAAACACAGCCCTCTTTCCTTTTCAGGGTTGTGTGTCTGTTGTCATTTTGTAAGGGAGCACAGGAAAATGCAGCATGTGACACTGGGTGTGGGATTCAACTTCCCCGAGAATCTCTTTCCCTCCTTGTTTTTTGCAGGGGAGTAAAAAGCCAAATTCTAATCCTTACGATTGCAAAAAACAGACTCGTAAGCATGTGAGCACTGCCTGCTGAAACCTCAGATACAAGAGAGGTTGCTAAATAAGATTTCTAGTAGTTGGCCATGGGTGGAGGGGCAGTTCTTATGGCCTCCCCCAAGACTAGCGAAAGAACCAATTGCGTAAAACGTCCAATTTGTGTCATTGCCACCAGTTGCAGAATTCAGGTTTTCGTTTTCTTTTTTAAATTCATTTTTATTAAATTTTCCACTTTAACAATCCAATCAAATCACATTAAATATTCCAAATTATACATATCAAATAATCCAAATAATCTTCCAAATTATAATTTTTTTAATAGGACTTCCCATGCTTCAAGTTCGGAGGGCTCTGATCATCTCATATCTCTACTGCTTTTCATAGTCATTTCCAAATGGTTCCTCTAATTCTTTCTGTTGTTAACCTGCAGAATTCAGGTTTTCATGGCACAGGTGTTGGATTGCCTGGGGAGGAAATTTGCACTGCGTAAGAACGCAAGGCGAGCCTGCTGCATCATGGCAGTGGCCCATCTGATCCAGCCCCTTTTTCACACGGTTGCCAGTCAGATGCAAGCGGGACCTGAGCATAACATCACTCGGCTCGCTCATGTTTCTCAGCACCTGGTTTTCAGAGGCATATGACCTCTAGCAGTGGAACTATCACAACACACCCCCATGATTAGAAGCCATTGATAACATGAATGTGTCTAATCGTCTCTTAAAGCCATACAAGTTGGTGGCTGTCACTCCCTCCTGCAATTCCGTATTTCAGCTGTTCGTAATAATAATAATAATAAGTTTTATTTATACCCCACCCTCCCCAGCCAGGACCAGGCTCAGGGCGGCTAACACCAGGTATAAAAACAATTGATTAAAATACAACTTAAAAACAAGATTAAAATACAACATTAAAATGCAGCCCCATTGCAGTAGAAACTCAAATCAAAAACTTTTTGGGGATGAAAACGTAAAATCTTTGCCAAGGCCAACTATCCAGACTGGTCCTACGTGGGCCAGAAAAAAGCCAGGGAAGTCCCCAAGTAGGAGTTTCATCACAGAAGGAGAAAGGAAAGAGGGGGAGGGGATCAAGTGAAGAAGTACTTTCTTTTATCAGTGTTTTTAGATGGGTTTGGGTGCAAGAGGAAACCTCAAGTCTCCTTCCTTTCTGAAGCATTACATTGAATTTTCCTTCAGATTTACAATCTGTTACCATTTTAAATGAGAATTCAGGGGGCTGGACTAGATGATCGCTTGAGTCCCTTCCAACTCAACAATTCCATGGTTCTGTGCTGGGGTTTTCACTTAGAATGACCCAGCCCTCTTTAAGTTGTGCTAGTTCATGTGACTCAGGCCAATAAATCTTTAAAAAAACCCAAGTGTGATCTAATGCATTTTATTAAAAAGCCATTAAGACAGCTCTTCGAGATTATTCCAGTCTGCAGGGCAAGCTGGGTGCTCAGTAAATGGAGGAAAGGAAGTCTATTAGCAGGCCACAGGCTTTGCTGTGCTAATATTTCCCTCTTTTTCCCTTCTTTCCACACCCCCCACCCCACCCCTATAATTGAAAAACAAGCGATAGCCATCTAAAGCCATTTGCTCTGCTGTTTTGAGAAAGTATCAATTTCATTCTTGGAGATGGAATCAGGTTTTCGACATAATTACGTCTGAGCGATATCTGAAAGGCTATTTATCAAGAGTTTCATTTGGTAGCGGTCCCACATTTGCCATTTCGGAAGCACCGCGTTTTCCATCCTTGGACTCAAAAACTGCATTTCTGCGGGTTACTTCTTAGCGGGTGTGAATTGGCCGGCTTGCACGGTAAACGGTCAGCTGCTGCCCCAGGTTACTTTGCGATAGGAGCTAAATATTTGCACCTGACTGGAGGCAGAGGTGGAGCTAGAGGTTACGGAAAATTCTTTTCTTTCCTCAGCACCGGAGGTAAAAAGGTAAAGGGACCCCTGACCATTAGGTCCAGTCGTGACTGACTCTGGGGTTGTGGCACTCATCTCGCTTTACTGGCGGAGGGAGCTGGCGTACAGCTTCCGGGTCATGTGGCCAGCATGACTAAGCCGCTTCTGGCAAATCAGAGCAGTGCACAGAAACACCGTTTACCTTCCCACCGGAGCGGTACTTATTTATCTACTTGCACTTTGACGTGCTTTCGAACTGCTATGTTGGCAGGAGCAGGGACCGAGCAACGGGAGCTCACCCCGTGGCAGGGATTCGAACCGCCGACCTTCTGATCGGCAAGTCCTAGGCTCTGTGGTTTAACCCACAGCGCCACCCGCGTCACATTCAGCACCGGAGACAGCACCCAAATTTGTGCATTTGCCGCTTTGTACAGATGTGGCAGGAATGGGGGGTGGCCCTCCAGATGTTTTCACATTACCATCCCCAGCCAGTATGGTCAATTGGTAGGAGATGGCAGAGTTCAAGAACATCTGCAAGGCCACAGATTTCCCCCCTCTTGGAATGGGGGCTTCGGTGTCCCGTTTACATTGAGCGTGCTCTGTGTGTGCCACTAGGGATTTCCTATTTTCCATTCATAACATTATTCAAATGAAGAGAGCAGTGCAGCCTTCACTCGTGTAGAGATCAGTTGTGCACAGCAGAGAGCCTAGCTGAGATTTGTGCCCAGGATGCATCATTTTAATGAGACCTTCAGGTGTCCTTTAAAGGACCGGACTGTTTTCACAGCCTGGCAAGGAGTTACTTTTGAAATGAATTAGGATCCTAAGAAGAATTGAAGAAGAATTACGATCCTTAAGGAAGAATAGATGGGTTCTTATGCCAGACCAGGCTGCTTCGTCCACCTCCCCAGTATTGTCCACTCTGGCTGGCAGCAGCTCTCCAGACAAGGTTTTTCTGCTACCTGAGACCCTTTCAACAGGAGATTCTAAGTCCTGGACTTGGGATTTCCTGTGTGTGCTCTGCCATTGATCTCTGTTTCTCTCTGTGTGCATTGAACTGGGGTCTGCTTCTCTGCAATTTCCAAACTGGTTCTAGTCCTTTCTGGAGCAACAGAGACCAAGTCCAGCCCATCATCTGCATGACAGCCCTTCAGATATTTGAAGAGCGCTGCCATGTTCTCCCCTCCCTTTTAATTTCTTATTTTCTTTAGGCTGAAGATATCCAGCTCGTATCTGCCTGCTTCCCTCCAGCAGCTGTGCTGCATTCTTCTGTCTCATAACCAAATCATGCCTTGAAAAGCAATCTTCATATCACCGGCATTATGGTACCTAACGCACATCCCACAGCGCTTCAATGTGAAATAGTGGCAGCAGTGTACAAAACAGGGCCTATGTTATACCTATCTCTGTTGGCTTCAAAGTGATGGGAGGAGAGGCTTAGAGCTCCCTTCCCCCCCAAAGGTGAAACTGAATTGCTGAAGGATCCAGGTCTGATGGCAATTCCCTCAGCCTCCTGTAGGACCAGTTTTGCAGAATAAAAAGCTTTGAGCAAGTGGCATATTCAGATGATAAATGAAAGCAGCGCAGGGAGTTTGCTTAGCAACAGAGCAGTGACCAGTGCTTTCAATAATAAATCGCCTTGCTCCCGTTAACAAGCACGTTGCCTCCCACCCAAATGAATGAATGAAATGAATGCCATTCAAAATCCTGTCGCTTTGGTGGCAAGCTTCCCATTTTAAGCTTCTTGAAAGCTCTGACCGCTCCTCAGACCTATTCTCACAGCCTGCACTGTTCTGCTTCTCATTTCTAGCTACCCAGACTGTTACCGAGATCAGCTCAATGGGAGTGTTTCCTCCGCCAAAGCACAGTTATTTCAGAAGGGCAGTCCTGCTTTTGCATCACTTGTGGCTGATGTCTTTAAGTAGTGCCCTTAATTGGAGGCCTATAAAAACCTCGCTATAAATCTCACGTTGTGCAGTTGGTATAAATGTCTAGGGATGAGGGGAAGACATGCACTTAATCTCCCTGCTGTGCAATATTTGGATAGGTCTTTGCTCTCTCTTTCTCTCTTCCTTCTCTCCTACAGCTCCAGAATAACACAGGTGATACAATGCACCGTGCCATGGCCTTCTGGCTTGAATTAAAACCTCAGGCCTTAAGGAAGAATACATAGTTTCTCAGTTCCTGTGGTTCTTGTTCTTTCCCTGTCTCGGGTCTGCTCAACATCGCAGCCCAGTGCTGTGTGCATCTCTGATTAGGGTCTGATTCTCTGATATGTAAGAAGGTCTAGTCTCCGGAGCTCTGCAAACTATATTTGGGCAGGCAGTGGTTCAGTGTGGACTCAGGTATAAATAAAGTATGGTTCGCTTAACTGATGTTCTGGCCCGCAGTTTAAACACTTGTGCGAAAGCGTTTAGTGACAGCAGGGGAGGCGAGAAGGTAAATTGGGGTTGACTGGGCGGTTTCATCGAGTTTTGGAGCCGCTGGCCAATCTGTACCCATCTCAGGCTCAGGTGCAGATTGTGATGGTTCAAACTGGTGTGATTTGTAGTGTAATTCCATGCCGAAAGCAATTGTTTAGTAATTATTTTACTGGACTGTTTTAATGCTCACTAACTGCTTCCCCCAGGATACGGTCTTCACTGCCACCGAGCTATCATTACCATGTGCAAACTTATTGGGATTCAAGACATGTATGCCAAGCTTTATGGATCCAGGAATTTGCTCAATGTCACCCGAGCGCTCTTCAAGGGATTAGCAAAACAGGTAAGACATGCCCGGTCTTATCCAGGGTGGCTCATGTTTTGTTACAGTACAGTCCTATGCATGTCAATTGGAGAGGCAAGATTGCCACTTTGCATTCTAACTTGCCCTCTGCCCAAAAGTTTGCTATCCGTGGTTAAGAGATGATGCACTGGGGGTTGGGCTCATGCATTGCGTCATTCTATAATAAACTGTTAGTACAACAGCCTGGCAAGAGGGGAGCAAAGCAGCTGCAGTTGCCTCTCTGGGTTTGCACTAAGCCATGGTTTAGCTTAGTATTGTGTGCAAACCAGTCCAGGGTCTGAGGGATCGTGCACTCAATCCTTCCTGAGAACACAGACTCTCACAGTTAAAGCTTATTAGGACATCAGCCTTTTTTTTTCTTTTTCTTTTTTTAATAATTTTATTGAAAATTTAAACAAAACGTATTATCCAAAAACATATCATCCTTAATTTTTCCCCATTTTTCCTCCCTCCCCCCACCCTCCCACATAAAACCCACCCACACCCACCCCACCCCCGACTTCCCTCAGTTCCAGTCTTTGGTTTCTCTAAAAGGGTTCCCATTCATCTTTAAAGTCACATTTATCCTTGTCCCATAGCTTATGTGTCAGTTTTGCCAGTTCTGCATAGTCCATCAGTTTTTCTCGCCATGATTCTTTAGTTGGAATTTCTTCAGTATTAGGGCATCAGCGTTAATCTTTATTCATGCTAATTGAGCTGATCACGAGACTTGAAAAAACAAGACCGATTGATTTTGAGTTTCTTGGCTTTCTTTCTGGTTTCATATCACCTGGATATTTTTAACTCATTGTTGCATCCATGAGGGCTAGCAACACATATATATTTTAAATAATAATAAAATGTGAGGTTATCTGTGTCTAGCAGGTGCCTGTTTTCTTTCCAAAACGGTTTCTGAGTTGCTGGATCCTAAAGTGTCCCTTCTCTTGTTTAGAAGAAAAAGGTGACTTGCCAATCTCGCCACTAAAGCCTTAGATCCAACTATGCAGAATATCTACATAGTTACAGTTTGAAATTGGATGGATCAGCCAGTGTGGTGTAGGGTGTAGTGGTTACGAGCGGTGGACTCGTAATCTGGTGGACTCGTAATCGTAATCTCTCCGCTCCTCCACATGCAGCTGCTGGGTGACCTTGGGCTAGTCACACTTCTCTGAAGTCTCTCAGCCTCACTCACCTCACAGAGTGTTTATTGTGGGGAAGGAAGGGAAAGGAGAATGTTAGCCGCTTTGAGACTCCCTTCGGGTAGTGATAAAGTGGGATATCAAATCCAAACTCTTCTTCTCCTTCTACTTGTGACTTAAATGTTTGTCTTTCCTCTCCCCTCCCCAACTAGGAAACTCACGAAAACCTAGCCAATAAGAAAGGCCTCTACGTCGTAGAATTCTGTGAAGAACGCGGCCCGCTTCCTGTCGTCGTCGCAAAGCCCCAGGGGGCGATCAGAGAAGATCCGGAGCCCGAGGATGAAGCTCTCAATGTCAAATTGGAGTTCAGTGAAGTGAAGGCAGCGCAAGGAATGAAGAAGAACGTCTGGGCAAATGTGAGAAGAACAGCTTCTTAGACCGGGTCCGTATTTAGATGCCCAAAAGCCGAGGAAGATGTACCATCAACACGGAGTCCTAGAATTCATTTCCAAGATAAATGCTGTGTGAAGGTTTCGTTCTAACTTAGGGGCTCAAAACAGCTTGGCTGCCTCTCTCCAGTGGGCAGTTCTCTGTTGAGTGCAAGCGACGGATGCACTAAGGTTGCAATTTCATAACTGCATTTGCTTTATTGCGGCTGACCCGGGCCGTGGAGGGGTGAGAGAGCCTGCAACCAACAGGTCGCTTTCATGCGTAACTTGGGGTGGGGGTGAACTGTCAAACAATGTGGCAAAAATAAACTTGTGACAAAATCCAGTCCTGCCTACTTATTTGTTTCACAGCATTTATATACTGTCTGATTGTTAATAAAACCTCTAAGCGGGCCACGCACAAAATTTAAAACTGTTGCTTAAAGACAGGCATTGAAGACGTTTGCAAGATAAAGTCAAAAGTTAGCATTAAAAGATTAAAACACAAGTCGGCATTCTACGTTAATTGACTGAACAAAAATGTTTTAAGCCAGCACCAAAGAAAACACAGCAAAGCCCCCCACCCCCCGCCTCCTGTCAATCGGTAGGGAGTTCCAAAGTTTAGGTACTGCCACACTAAAAAAACTAATTGTCTCCTTGCACAGTGTTGGAGGCAACCCAGTTTTTGCTTCAAGACACCACTATTTTAATGAAATAAAATCCACAAGCTTGCCAGAAACATGCCTTGTACTCAATTGTTTTAAATGTTTGTTTTGCTATTGGGATTGTAGTTCCATTTGTGTTTCTCAAGCTGGTCTCTGACCATAATAAATTTCATGCCTTGTACTCAAGAAAAGCACTACCCAGTCCTGTTAGCGGTGTAAGAAAGGGGGAGATAGAAAACACCTGAAAGTCTGCTCTTGAAGGAATTCATTTCAAACAAACAAACAAAAAACAAGACCTATTGTTAAGAGAGAGGTTGGGCTACAGTTGTAATAGTCGTTCCAAAATGCATCCGCCACGATCCAGCAAACTCTTATAAATGCAGGTGATTTGAACCATGTATATTGAGAGCTTTCCCATCTGCGGTGGAAGCCTCATTAATTTCAATAGAGGCAGAAGGTCTTCACAGATGTTGCTGTAGGCATGCAGCCTGCACTGCACTGTGCTTCTGGATTAAGATGAATGAGAATAATAGCTGTTTTTACGACTTCCCCCATTAAAGCAGCAGCGGCAGGGGATCAAGGGTTGCCAACCTTTTTGGGGCCAGTGGAATTTCGATGATAAAGCGCCCGCAACAACAACAAAAATGTGTGCTGTGCTGTATCCAACAGATACTGGGGCAGGGGAGAGAGAGAGGACCACAAAATGGGATGCCCCATTAACAGGGGGGAAAGTCACCTCCATCAGCTGTGACTTCCCCTTGCTCACAAACAAGCTCCTTGCACCTCTTCTCTGTTCAGAATGGCAGGGAAGGTGGGAGTCAAAACCTGGCATCCAATAGGGAGTGGGGCATTTTCAATATCTGAGATGCTGAGAAGCAAACGAGAACTGAGCAGGAGGAGCCAACAGTGGGTTTTTGAGGGGGATAGGTCATGGGTAGGCAAACTAAGGCCCAGGGGCCGGATCCAGCCCAATCGCCTTCTAAATCCAGCCCACGGACGGTCCGGGAATCAGCATGTTTTTACATGAGTAGAATGTGTGCTTTTATTTAAAATGCATCTCTGGGTTATTTGTGGGGCCTGCCTGGTGTTTTTACATGGGTAGAATGTGTGCTTTTATTTAAAATGCATCTCTGGGTTATTTCTGGGGCATAGGAATTCGTTCATTTCCCCCTAGATAGATAGATAGATAGATAGATAGATAGTCCGCCCCGCCCCCCCCAAGGTCTGAGAGACAGTGGACAGGCCCTCTGCTGAAAAAGTTTGCTGACCCCTGGGATAGGTGCACAAACTTAATAGACAATTGGTCTCAAGAAGCCCGGACAACAGCACTGATGGAGAAGCCCACATGCTCAGTACGAGAACAGGAACACAATCTGGCAATGCTTTTGTGGTTTGGAACCTCTTCATTGGCTATGCAGCTGGGGTGGCCACTTCCCAGCCCCCCATGCCCTCTGATGAAAGGGTGTCCTTAACTAAGAGACACTAGGGGTGTCTGCTGTCACCGGAGCACAACTTGTTCTCTGCGAACTCACTTGGTCCCCCTCTTGAGATCCGGCTTACCATCCACCACACTACCAACAGTTTCCCTGGACTCTTGACACTTCCAGGGTCATCCAGCTCCCAACTCCCTGAGCTCCTCTCCTTGGGATCAGACCACCACTCGCCCCTCCATGATACCTCCACAGGACTTAGGACAAATACAGTGGTACCTCGGGTTAAGTACTTAATTCGTTCCGGAGGTCCATTCTTAACCTGAAACTGAAGCACCACTTTAGCTAATGGGGCCTCCTGCTGTTGCTGCGCTGTCGGAGCACGATTTCTGTTCTCATCCTGAAGCAAAGTTCTTAACCCAAGGTAATATTTCTGGGTTAGCAGAGTCTGTAACCTGAAGCTTATGTAACCCGAGGTACCACTGTACGGATTTGGCAAAAGAGGCAGGTCCCGCAAAGCAAAAACCTTTTAGCTGTCAAAGGCCAGGATAAAAAGGTACACTTTCAGAATGCACCAGACAACAAAGGTGCTTCATGTACCCCTTTGGGGAGGGAGTTTCACAGTTTAGGGTCTGTATGTGGCCATTGCAGAGCGTGTGCCTATGTGTGCGCTTTGAACTTCAGCTGTGCTTCAGCACAAAGCAGCCTTTCAGGAGCCACCCTGAATGACTGGCACATCATCCGGGAAGAAGAAGAAGAAGAGTTTGGATTTGATATCCCGCCTTTCACTCCCTTTAAGGAGTCTCAAAGCGGCTAACATTCTCCTTTCCCTTCCTCCCCCACAACAAACACTCTGTGAGGCGAGTGAGGCTGAGAGACTTCAGAGAAATGTGACTGGCCCAAGGTCACCCAGCAGCTGCATGTGGAGGAGCGGAGACGCGAACCCGGTTCACCAGATTACGAGACTACCGCTCTTAACCACTACACCACACTGGCAGAGAGGGAAAGGCTAAAGAAGTTCTGAGCCTGGTAGGTAGGTAGGTATACCAGAGATCAAGTTGATGGATTATGCCGAAATGTCTAAAATGACCGGAAGAATCAGAAATCAGGAAAACCATAATTTTAATGAGGAATGGGGGAAATTTTATAATTTATCTTAAAAACCATTGCGAACAGTTAAAATCATTAGTAGGATTGGAATAACACTTGTAGTTTAATGGTGAATTTTGGACACAGTGGAGAGGTAAAAGATTTGGATTATTATAAAAGATGTGGGAGGAAATGATTAACAATAGGACCCACAACAGGGAGGGGGGAAGTCCAGGAGATTTTTTTGGAATCTTGGTTGTATGTTGGATGTGTGACTAAAATTTCAATCTGAAAAACCATATAAAATTTATATAAAAAGGTCTGAGCCACTCACTAACCACAGGTACTTTATTTTTCCTGTACAGAACATTTTTTAAAAAAAATAATACACGTGTTCTTTGTGTTCTATCTAGTCCTTCATTCTTCTGTGGCATCATGAACCAGCATTAATTTACTGCCCAGCCTTGAAGAGATTTGGGGGCGTGTTATTGCAAGAGTCCACAGACTTCCGCCCACAAACCGTGTGTCATATTGACCCATCTTGGTAATATTTCCATGGAGAAGCCGCTCCACCAGCAGCCTAATGAACAACAGCGAGAAAGAGACACTCTTCTGTGTTCTCCCAACAGATTTCTGGATCTTGATTTCAAAGGCTTGCAAAGTCAGGTTTTAGTGCTTACGGTGAAATGGACGGTTTGAAGCGATAAGCCAATGTTACTATTTCAGTTGTGAATTGTGATTTTCGTTTTTGTGGTGTGTTTTATGCAACATTTTGGAAATATATTTTGAAAGGCAGCTTAGAAGTCTTTTTCATCAGGCACGGGGAGCCTGTGCCCCTCCACATATTCCTGGGTTACCACCCTGCCCAAACCATTGATTAGACTGGTTTAAGGAATACTGTAAATGGATGACCAGAAGAGCTGCAGTTTCCTTTAGGACACACGACAGCCACCAGGTGGCGCTCTTTTCTGTACTCCATTGTCCCCTTGACAAAAGGCAGGGAAAATATCTTGTTCCAGAGGTCATAGATAAAAAGCTACTGAACTGAGGAACATGGCTTATTCGGGGATGGGAAGCCAACGCGCTTCAACCTTGGGCCCCAGATGTTGTTGGACCCCATCTCCTATCACCACAGTCAGGCAGCGTGGGCAATGATCAGGGATGGTGGAGCTAAAGTTGAGCAACATCTGCAGCGCCAAAAATTCATCATCCTTGGCTTCTCTGAAACCTTTAAACTCTCTAAGGCAGTGGGTTGAGACAGTGGCATAGCGCGGGTTGCAAGCACCCGAGGCTGCACAGAGGAGGGTGGGAAACAGACTGAGTACACATGAGCATTCAGCTGCCTATTGGTGTCTGCGTCACCCAAGATATTGCAAGAGAAAGAAGAAGAAGAAGAGTTTGGATTTGATATCCCGCTTTATCACTACCCGAAGGAGTCTCAAAGTGGCTAACATTCTCCTTTCCCTTCCTCCCCCACAACAAACACTCTATGAGATTAGTGGGGCTGAGAGACTTCAAAGAAGTGTGACTAGCCCAAGGTCACCCAGCAGCTGCATGTGGAGGAGCGGAGACGCGAACCCGGTTCCCCAGATTACGAATCTATCACTCTTAACCACTACACCAAGAGTTCTGTTGTCCAAAGAGGTCACTTCCTGGTTCACGGGAAGAAGCCATTTTCAATGGAGCCCAGCGATAGAAGCGTGCCAATGTATTTAGGCAGCGCTGGGTGTTGAAATTTTGTATCCCCTAACAATTTTGCACCCAGGGCAACTGTCCCTGTGCCCCCCTCCACTATGCCATGGGTTGAGATGGTGGAGTCTGCTAGCTGCAGCGGTGTGAAGAACATTCAAAGTTGAAATTTGCTCCAACTTGCAATTAAAAGTGATGCAGTTCAGAGGCCATTGAGCCTGGCGTGCACTGGATAAAACTTTCTTCGCTATCCCTTGCATCCCTGCGCAACCTTGGGGTTGCATTGTCCGTCAAGTAATTGGCTCCTTCCTTGGGAATTCCTTAAAAATAATCGAGAAGATGAATTAATTCCAATTGTTTTTAATGGGTGTGCCACTGCCACATTCTCACATAAAATGTTTTGTTGATCCTGTTCCTGTTGCCGAGGCTCTTATCAGATTTTGCCACTGAGATCATGGCTCTAGCAGCATTGCATGGAATTTGTGGAAATGACTCTGAATAGGAGGAAAGGCGCAGTTCGGAATCAGTGATGTTCAAAAGGTCATGCTGAGTCATTGTACCTAAGATTTTTATTTTTAATTTTTAAACCCACTCCGTATTATGTTCAGCTAATTACTTTAAACAAATTAGTGAGGAAACCGAGTTTTGCATTTGTTTTAATTGCTGTTGCTGAGGGTTTCAAGCAGCGTCCTCCCACACTACAGGAAGAAATAATTAGATCTCAAGAAATAATAAGAAACAATTGGTGCAGACGGTGCTCCCTTTTGCCATTGGAGTTTCTCCATTGCTGAGCAGGTAGCTGATTATTCAGGCATGCAGAGATCTGTAAAGCAGGTTGAGTTCTAGCCATCAACACATATAAAATGCGATAACATATTTTTCGCTCTATAAGACGCACCAGACCACAAGACGCACCTAGTTTTTGGAAGAGGAAAACAAGAAGAAGAAAAATTCTGAATCCCAGAAGCCAAGGGGAGGCTGCGCGCAGCTAAGCAAGAAGCCAGGAAGGCCAGCGGTGCAGCGATCCTGCTGGCTGTCCTGGCTTATAGGATAGCTGTGCGCAGCCTCTCCCGGGCAAGGGGAGCCTTCATCCCCCCAAGAGCCACGCTCCCTTTAAAGAGCGCGCGGAGTGTGTGTGCGGCTCTTCGGGGCTTTTCCCCAAGGAGGAGGGAGAAGGGCTGCCTTCTGAGAAGAGCCTCCCGCCTGCATGCGCTCCATAAGACGCGCACACATTTCCCCTTACTTTTTAGGAGGGGAAAAGTGCATCTTACAGAACGAAAAATACAGTAGCTTAGCTGGTTAGAGCGTGTTTACAATTCTATGTCTACTACAGTGGTACCTCGGGTTACATACGCTTCAGGTTACACACTCCACTAACCCAGAAATAGTGCTTCAGGTTAAGAACTTTGCTTCAGGATGAGAACAGAAATGGTGCGGCGGCAGCATGGCAGCAGCAGGAGGCCCCATTAGCTAAAGTGGTGCTTCAGGTTAAGAAGAGTTTCGGGTTAAGAATGGACCTCCAGAACGAATTAAGTACTTAACCCGAGGTACCACCGTATTTTAAAATATTTGAGGTGACCGATATGAAAGTTTAAAACAAACAGAAATGAAGCACCTCTTTATACAGCTCAGCACGTCCTTATCCTGAAGAAATCATTCCCACAGCATGCAATGACGACTACTGTACTTGCCAAAGCAGATTTTAAAAATATATGAGTATCGGGAGGAGGAGTCTTCTACCACTGCTGCTGTCTGCCAGCCCCAACAGCCAGAAATGAGATCTCCCATGTTCCAAGACAATACAATTTTGACTACCAGCTGCTGGTGATAAATGACATAGAATCATAGAATTGTAGAGATGGGAAGGACCACGAGGGTCATCTAGTCCAACCCCCTGCAATCTTTGGCCCAGTGTGGGATTTGAACCCATGACTCTGAGATTAAGGGTCTCACGCTCTTCTGACTGAGCTATCTCCATCTGCTCTGTGGCATGTGGGCTTCAACTGCCAGAAATCTAACCTAGATGGACTGTTTCTGTCTGCCACAGCACAGCAGTTTGACGTTGAATTATGAATTATGATGTTCAGTTGCACTCTATAGAACGTTTTAAAGAATATAATAAAATCAGCTGTCAGGATGAGCCAGGTTGATGGTGGTCTTGGCTGGCAGGAAGGAGTGCTCGGAGCAGGTTGCATTTTGCAAGCGTGACACGAGTCTGGAAGCAGCTCCTGCTCCGAGCAGTTTGCACTGCAAATGTAAAACCTGCATTTGGGAGAATGCTCCTTGCCAAAGGAAGATAAATGCCTTTCTTGTGCTTTTCCTTTCTCATGCAGATGCAGATCAAATGGCTGAATAAATGTACGAGAGGCGATCAGAGGTGATTTAAGCCTCACGTGGCCAGGCAGCTTTGGATTTCCAAATCCACAACTATGCTGGCATCTGTCCATGGCCAGAAGACAAATGGTTTGCCACATTTCTCTGGCTGAAAGCAAGTATCAAATGTTCTCTCCCTGTCTGCAAAAGCTCGGGCAGTGATAAGAAGGCTGAGTTCCCACCTTTTAACCTCAGGTAGAACCTAGAGGAAGGGCTAATCTCAATGTAGATGTAGTTAATTTGGCTGCAAGAATGTCAAACTATGCCTGATACGGTTGGAGGCGATTGGAGGATGGATGGCGGCTAACAGATTGAGGTTGAATCCTGACAAGACAGAAGCACTGTTTTGGGGGGACAGGGGCGGGCGGGTATGGGGGATTCCCTGGTGCTGAATGGGGTAACTGTGCCCCTGAAGGACCAGGTGTGCAGCCTGGGAGTCATTTTGGACTCGCAGCTGTCCATGGAGGCACAGGTCAATTCTGAGTCCAGGACAGCTCTTTACCAGCTCCATCTGGAACGCAGGCTGAGACCCTACCTGCCCGCGGATTGTCTCGCCAGAGTGGTGCATGCTCTAGTTATCTCCTGCTTGGACTACTGCAACGCGCTCTACCTGGGGCTACCTCTGAAGGTGACCCGGAAACTGCAATTAATCCAGAATGCGGCAGCTAGACTGGTGACTGGGAGTGGCTGCCGGGACCACATAACACCGGTTCTGAGAGATCTGCATTGGCTCCCAGTACGTTTCCGAGCACAATTCAAAATGTTGGTGTTGACCTTTAAAGCCCTAAACAGCCTCGGTCCTGTATACCTGAAGGAGCGTCTCCACCCCCATCATTCAGCCCGGACACTGAGATCCAGCACTGAGGGCCTTCTGTCGGTTCCCTCATTGCGAGAAGCGAGGTTACAGGGAACCAGACAGAGGGCCTTCTCGGTAGTGGCGCCCACCCTGTGGAACACTCTCCCTTCAGATGTGAAGGAAATAAGCAGCTATCCTATCTTTAAAAGACATCTGAAGGCAGCCCTGTTCAGGGAAGTTTTTAATATTTAACGCTGTATTGTTTTTGACACTTGATTGGGAGCCGCCCAGAGTGGCTGGGGAAACTCAGCCAGATGGGCGGGGTATAAATAAAAAAATTATTATTATTATTATTATTATTATTATACAACCACACTCAAATTTTGCATTCAATTAATCTCCCTTAAGGATCCCAGACAATGCGAGAGGATGCTACCAGTACTTTGGGTAGGATGGACCTTAGTCAAAGAGAGTTTGGCTTCTCATCAACCTGGACTGGATCTATACTCCTCTAAAAAACAACAAACGCTAACACAAAAAAAGTTATATACCCGTATTTTTCGCTCTATAACACGCACCTGACCATAACACGCACGTAGTTTTTAGAGGAGGAAAACAAGAAAAAAAATATTCTAAACGAAACAGTGGATGTATGTTTTTTGTGGCTCATGCTGTGGCCACAGACATGTGATCTGACAGTGAGTTTGGAGTAGCCCAATGCAAAAATCCTGAGGATCCATGTGGATCCATGCTTTGTAACCACGTTTTTGCACCACTTTAAAGTATCCTTTAAAGCAAGCAGGCTCTGCTTTTCTCCCTCCTCCCCGCTCATCCCCGGCTTAGCACTGAAAAACTTTGCTGCTATGTAGCGAGCTGAGTGGGGAAGAGAGAGGGACAGAGAGCCTGCTTGCTTTAAAGGAACCAACCAGACAGGAGCCGCTTACACTCGTGTAAGCGGCTCCTCTCCTCTCCCGCTTTGCTCCTTTAAAGAAGTGGGCTCTCTGTCTCTCTCTCCTCCCCACTCAGCGGCTCTTCTCCCGCTTTGCTGTTTCAAAGCGAGCCACAGAGGAGGGAAGGAATGGGAACCATGGATCCTCTGCTCACAACTGCAGATCCCCCCCGCCATCCGTAGGCATTCCCTCCATAACACGCACATACATTTCCCCTTACTTTCTAGGAGGAAAAAAGTGAGTGTTATGGTGCAAAAAATACGGTAACTCTTAACGTAAGCTTCCATTGACTGCTGTACAGCGCCCCCTGGTGTCACAATTTTATAAAGCATTTATAACATTTATAACTCACAAGTATAGATTAGACCCTGGAGAAATGTGGTGTGGGATGCCATAGGGCACTGGACCATCCCATTTCTCCACCTGAGCTGAAACGGGAAGGTGCTGTCCTGTGTGAGATCCAGGGGTGATGAAAGGAAGTGTGCATAATTAGTTGGTATAATTCATTGCCACGTGGTGTGCTGATGGCCACATTTGCCCTTAAAAGGTGATTAGGCAAATGACTGGTTCATAGTATTATTCATGGTGACTATAAGGAACTTCATATTCAGAAGCAGTTCCTGGGGATCATGAGCAGCAGAGGGCTCATTTCTTGCTTGGGGGGGCTTCCCAGAGGCACCTGGCTGGCTGCTGTGGAAAGCAGGGTGTTTGACTAGTAAATCTTTGGTCTGATCCACCAAGGAAGCTCTTTGGAGGGCATCCATACAGCTTTGGAGCGTGTTTTCTTCATTAGTTCCACAAGAATTCATGGCTCACTGTTGGAAGACATATGCATTATATTCCGGCTTCAGCCATCTGCCTGGAAATCTTCCTCCTTGCTGCAGGGCCTAAAGAATGAGGGGGATTTGCTATTTCAGACCTGCCCTGAGCCTTGTCAATGGGTCTTCTTAAAAAGTTTACTGAGCTGTTCTGTTATGTCCCTTGGGCTCCACCGATATAACTCAAGTGCTCTGCAGGCTTTTGGGCTGGGGGGAGGTATTCGTCTGCTTGTCAGTTAAGTGCCAGAACAAACTCCCCTACAGGAACAAAGTCTGTTTCTCTTAGTCAAATAAGGGCCCGTGTCAAATATTTTGTCAGAGAAGCGCACAGAGACAAGCATCTTCCATGCTCTCTGGCTCTGTGCATCTGCTAGACAGCAGCCAATTCAAGTTTCGCTCCAGGGACAGTCAACACCACTGACGTATGGGGCAGGAGGGACCCTAGACTGACATAAAACAGGGGGGTGTTGAACTGCAGGGTTTGAAAGGCACTGATGGGATTGATCCATCTGGCGTCTTCAGAAACTGAATAACACTGAATTCCATTCCAAAAGCACTTCACATCTCCAATATATTTGAATTAAATGTTTGCTTCTATCCGAAGAAATGCATGTGGCCTGAATTTCATAAGCTTAAAGTGTTAGCCTGGAAATCGAGACATTTATGGAGTCTTTTGATATTCACACCTTAGCAAGCAATATGCAAAACACATCCTGAATTTGCACAAATAACAGTGGTACCTCGGGTTACAGATGCTTCAGGTTACAGACTCTGCTAACCCAGAAATAGTACCTCGGGTTAAGAACTTTGCTTCAGGATGAAAACAGAAATCGTGCTCCGGCGGCAGCGGGAGGCCCCATTAAGCTAAAGTGGTGCTTCAGGTTAAGAACAGTTTCAGGTTAAGAACAGACCTCTGGAATTATTTAAATACTTAACCTGAGGTACCACTGTAATTGTAATTAATACATTATTATCAAACATTAAAAGCTTCCTGAAGCAAGGCAGCAGAGGTTTAAGATCAGAGTTTTCCTTGTCCTAGATGGGCTAGCTTCTCCCCTCCAAAGATGTCCTGTGAGAGGTTGTATATATATGCAAATAAATCCATATATCGAAAAGACCCCAGTCTCGACCTGAATTCGAAGGAAACCGAACCCTGGGTGAGCTCTGGAACCCCTGCAGTTTTTCCGCTCAGAAATTGAGGTGGCATGTAACAATATTGAGGATCCATGGATCTTTCACAAAAGTCAGATTTTTTTTGTGGTAGAAAAGGAAGCGGGTTTTTGAGTACTTTATTCCAGAACACTGGCTGAATAATGACAACTTAGTAAAGGTAAAGGGACCCCTGACCATTAGGTCCAGTCGTGGCCGACTCTGGGGTTGTGGTGCTCATCTCGCTTTATTGGCCGAGGGAGCCGGCATACAGCTTTCGGGTCATGTGGCCAGCATGACTAAGCCGCTTCTGGCGAACCAGTGCAGCGCACGAAAACGCCGTTTACCTTTCCGCCGGAGCAGTACCTATTTATCTACTTGCACTTTGACATGCTTTCGAACTGGTAGGTTGGCAGGAGCAGGGACTGAGTAACGGGAGCTCACCCCGTCACGGGGATTCGAACTACAGATCTTCTGATCAGCAAGCCCTAGGCTCTGTGGTTTAACCCACAAAAGTGCCGATACCTGCAAGGAAGATTCATAATCTCCCCACCTTCAACCCCAGTCATCTTCCTCCACCAAATTTACACTGTGCAGGGAAAACCCCTATTTACAACATTTTCCGGTTCCGCTGCTGTAGGGGCAGTCAACCGGGAAGTTCTCCTTCCAAATCTCTCCTTTTGCCGGTGGACTCGGCAGGTAGCCTCAGGCAAGTCACTGACTTTCCGCCTCCATGGCCTCGCCTGCCCTGTTTCTGTAATATGGGGTTTTTAATCTTGACTTCCCTTACAAAGCTGCTGTAAGAATTCACTGCGACAAAATGACTGAAGCTCTTTGAGCACTCTCAAACACTTTCTAAACGCACAGTGATTTTACTGCACTTTGAACAG